CACTACATGAAGATCTGGCCGGCTGTCATACGAGCGGCTTTTGACCCTATGGCGTCAGACATTTGATTAATCAATCAGTATTGATGTTACTAGTGGATTACCCACAGTTCCGTGTAAAACACACCTAAAGCTCGCCGTAACAGACCGTTTCATTGGCTAAGCTCTCACACCATTCAGAACCCGTAAATGATAACAACTCTTCCAGATCCTAGTGTAGTAAAGACAAGCAAAACGAAATTTTGAACTATAAAAACGAAACGAAAAAGGATCTGTATTTTAATCAGATTGACTAATTTGCCATTGATATGCAGCCACAGTCACATACCCCAATCTCCACAGAAAGTTGTACATGGTTCTTGACTACAATTAATACGCGCTTAGTGTTAAAGATATGCTGTGAACGAATTTAATACTCAACAAAATTTACACCTAAATTAATAGTATTATAGATTTGTCATGTTTCTGTTTTAGCTACCAATGTATTATTTTCGACAACTCCATCAACGATCATATATCCAACACACAAACCTCTAATTGGTGAGTTATCAGATTTATTTTGGTCGTAAATTTAAATGAGAAAAGAAATGCTCGATATATTTCAATGAAAAAAACTAGATAATTCTATCCCAGGGCTCATATCCCAAGGTTTTGCCAAAAACGTACCAACGCCGAGCTGTCCGATGGGGCCGAGTTCCAACAGTGTGCGCTTTGATATTTTCTCACTATACTGTCGTTTTAGGTGTTGTGTTCCAGCGTGTTATAGTATTGTCTTCAAACCGGATCATGAGTTGATCAGGTCCCCCAATGGAAACATTGGCGATAAACACTTCATAAACGGTACAGCTTTAAAGTGTTTCACTATTTCTAAGCGGTTCAATGTAATTTTGCTATTTTGTTTGTTACTGGGTTTCGAATCCCGGTTGTACGTGACTAGGAGTAGGGTCGCCTGTCCAACCTCTTGGCCGGTTTCCTCCCACTGCTAAAAACTCCTACGCGCAAGCGAATTATTGAAATAAAAAAAAATTAAACGATTTGTAAGTCCCGAAGTGACCTAGTTTGTGTCCAGTGGGCGTTAAACCCCTCTCTCTCTCTCTCTCTGTTTGTTACTGCCAAGAAGTCAGTCTCTTAGATGAACAGTTTCTCCACAATAAGTCATGGGGGGTGCTTATTTCTTGAATGAGATGATATTTAAGGAACATTGGCAGGGGCGGATCTAGGAATTTTGAAAAGGGGGGGCGCCGCAAAATGGGGCACTGACCGCGGAGAGGGGGCACGCCGCTGAGAGGGGATTTTTTAAAAACTTTTTTTTTTGGGGGGGCCAAGAAAATTATCCGTCATTTCCTTGCATCTGTAGCCATTCCAAGAGCTATTTGGCTGATATTTTCGTCTAAGTAAACGTTCGGAAATCGTTGAAAAAGAGCCTTAAAATTGAGCAAAAAAGCCAGTTGAACACGCGGCTCGAAAATTGTCATGGGCAAGCGAGGCATTATGGTGGGAAAAAAGACGAATCTATTCCCTAGCCACTTCACTATTTAAGCCTTGTAACTTGTACTTTGTACTGTCCACACATGAAACAATGCTACATCAAGTTACACTCATGCGCGTCGGTGATGGACATGAGTGTATACGCCGCCGATTCCACAAGATGTCTGTCTATAGTCACTCTATTGGATTAGGGCACCGTCAGCTAAACAACAAGAATTCGTTTGAAAGTGGAAGCATTAATTAGACCAGACTGATGGGTTTGAATCGATGGTTTGAGTCATTTGGGATCCGCCTCTGATTGGGAATCACATACGGTAAGTCTTGCTGCTATGGCAGCGTGGATTTTGCCTTACCCCAGTGACCTGATGCATAATGTATTCAGTTTATTATATATAAACAAACATGAGTAAATCAATCTCAAAGATTATCTCATCCCGATGGTCCTGTTTGTTTCGTAGACTGATGGACAAAGTACACCATTAATTTTCCCATTGACTCTAATGTTGATTTTCGACTCTTTGACCAGCTCGTGGGATCGAATGCTTTCTACCACAGATAGAGCAACATGTGACAACCTCTTGCTAAACAGCAGGTATGTGGTTCACCATGAAAATCTTGATATCTTTCAGTGCCACAGCCAATTCTTGCAGTGTTGCAGTTTTGGGGGATCACGTGGCTAAGTGGGTAAGACGCTGGCTCGCTAGCCTGGAGGTCGGGTGTTCGATCCCTGCATTGGTCTATAAAGTTCATTCAGATTTTCCGGCGTGGTTTCCCCTTGTCAGTGATGCAGGATGTAGGGCCTGACAAGGACAGCTGTCTAGTCGTCCGGATGGGACGAAAAACCGAGTTCCCGTGTACACATTGACGTGCACGTAAAAGATCCCTTGGCTGTTGGAATTCGATATAAGAGTAGGCCGTAGCGCCGCTGCCCAGGCAAAATTTCCCTCATAACGCACTGTATGGCGTATGCCCGTCTTCATTAACCCAGATTAGGAGCAGATTAGTAGGACGTTAAACCCCATTTCATTTCATTTCATTTCCAAGATTTTGGGACTTTGTCATTACCGTAACTTTACTTTTCAGACGTGAAGAATTATGGAATAACATTGTCTGTAAAATGCCTCGCAACATTTAATACCGAGCTCATCAACAAGACAACTGGCCTATACAAATCATACGAAGCAAACTTTACTGTAGGGGTAAGAGCTTTTCGTTGCTTTTATATGGACGTATAATCTTTGGCCCGTCTTCCATGAACTTTTAAGGCGGTTATGGTTGTGCTCCTTAATGACGACGCAGGATATGAAACGAGACAATACAGTTTAAAAATTACTAATGTAAATATATACTCAAAGCCATTACAAATGCAATGCCTAATTCGTGAAATATTTCTGGTAAACGTTTTCTTGGGCTTTCCTATCTTATGGCACGCAGGTGAAACTTGTGATGGGTCACTTTTTGTGAGTACTGGGGTTGAACCCAATATCAGTTCTCGGTAATAAACTTTGTTCGAGCAAACGCAACACTTGTCTTTTTTCACGATTTTAAGCAGTCCCATGTCACACGTTTTGCACGTACCTCCCTCTCCCTTGCACTCTTGCCCTTTAAATACAGATCAAAATTTCAACATTTCATCACTTCGGAAAAATGCCACGCCTTACACAAGAAAACAGGAACAGAGCTATTGGCATGCTGGATGAGGGGGCTTCACAGGTAGCCACTGGAACCCCGACCTGAAGCGCCACCTGTAACAACCGCCGCTCAAGATTGCCACATCTGACTACATCATCCGCGCAGCAGGTTCCAGTCAGCTACTGCTATTGCCAGGGGAACTGCTGGAACACGGCAACGTCAGATCAGCCCTCAAACAGTCCGAAGGCGACTGGCTGCTCTTGGGTTACGCTGCCGTCGACCTTACCAAGGTCAAATCCTTTTGCATCGTCATCGACTTGCCAGATAGCAATGGGCCGCAAATCAGGGCTCTCTGCAAAACACACCATGTCGAAATGTCATCTTCTCGGATGAATCCCGATTCAACCTCAGTTTTCCTGATGGACGTCACCGTATCTACCGACGTCGACATGAACCCGATCGAACACCTTTGGGATGAACTTGGACGACGGGTTCGAACTCAAGCCGTGCCACCACGAACTGTTGCAGTGTTGGAACACACACTTCAAAATTATTGGCAACAATCCCACAGCATGTAGTGAGACATCTGTGCCAGTACATGTCAAGCCGACTTCAGACATGTGTAAGAGCACAGGGTGGACATACCCGATATTGATTTCAGCTGACCCCTTTTTTGTTCCATGGTTCTCTGACGTTTTGATTTTGTGCATTTGTAGTGAATTCTTTCATTAAATTATCCACAGATGCTTGTTATCTCGATTTTCTCAATTGTTATGTACATTTGTTAAAAGTTATTGCAGTAAATAAACTTTGAATTTGGCATTGCGTTTTTAATGGCTTTGGCTAGACAACACCTTTCGCCCTTTACGTAGATTGGAATCTCCTTGTTCAAGAATGTTTTGCAAGTACTGTTCTTTAGGTCGCCCGTAAGAACCCTATCTACATTTGCTTTCATTCGTGTGGTCACGGTGGCTAAGTTGGTGAGACGCTGGCTCGCTAGCCTGGAGGTCTGCATCTTCAATAGAAGGCTTGGTCTCGCTTTAACTACGTACATCTTATCAAGGCCTTCACGTAATACCCCGCATATTGCGGCACTAATTTCGATTGGGTACAAGCCCAACTTGTGAGCCTAGCAGATTCCTCGATCGTCGCGAATACCAAGTCTAGCGCTTTCAACCTAAAATATCTACCTGTGATAATCGAGTTGCAAAGTTCAAGGTTCATTCAATGTCAAGATTTCCGTGGAGGTCGCAAAGTCACAACCTCTGATTGGACGCTACTGCTCACGTGTCTGTAGATAACATAGCTATAAGTTCGGGAATTGTGAAGTAAACAAGCAACGGCCAGATGTTGTGAAACTCGCAGTCGTTACTTCAGGAACATGGTAGGTCGGGTGTTCGATCTCTGTATTGGCCGAGAAAGTTCATCCAGATTTTCCGGCGTGGTTCCCCCTTGTCAGTGATGCAGGACGGAGGGTCTGACAAGGATAGCCGTATAGTCGTTCGGATGGTACACAAAACCGAGGTCCCGTGTACAAATTGGCGTGCACGTAAAATATCCCTTGACAGTTGGAATTCGATATAAGAGTAGGCCGTAGTGCCGCTGTCCGGGCAAAATTTCCCTCATAGGACACTGTATGGCGTATGCCCGTTTTTATTAGCCCAGTTCGGAGCAGAACACGATAATGGGTGAAATTAGAGATTGGTTCTTTTTTTAGATTGTTCTTTGGGGAATGAAAATAAACCCGATCGAAATTTAGAAGATTTGTATCGCAAAATTCGAATAAGTATCGCTGAGCTATCTTTCCGTCTACATTTAAGGTTTGAACGTGGCGTTATAACACATAATATTTAAATTGTTTAATATATGTAATTACAGCTTACCGAGGCTTTTAAAGGTACGCCTGGATTTAAAGAAATCGAAGTGCTGGGATTTAAGTAAGTATTATTTTTGTTTATATCAGTAATGTTAAGTAAGTATTATTTTTGTTTATATCAGTAATGTTAAGTGTAACAACACCACACATACTGCCGAACAAACACAATCTTGTACACACATAGATAAACCAAGTTTCAGAGAGAGAGAGAGAGAGAGGGGGGGTGAGAGAGAGAAGGGGGGGTAACGTCCACTCGACACAAACTAGGTCATTTCTGGACTAACATGTGGTTCAATTTTATTTCAATAATTATAATAATAATAATAATAATAATAATAAAACTTTATTTAATGAGGCAACGTATTTAGTTTGCAAAAAAACAAAACAAAAAAACTAATCCTCCAAAGGTCCCTCCTAAGCTACAAAGACATATATATATGTAATATCAGGATAAATTCAAAATCATTTGAAATGCAATAGCATTTTGGGAAGTCACTCCCAAACTCCCAAACTACAAAACATATACATTATACAAGTAGAATATAGGAAGAACACTATAATTACACACAAAAAAAGATAGAATGCAGTTGCAAGTTAAAAATAATAAGTATGTCATCAGTTGAATATTATGGTTCCTTCAGTGTGCAAAATAAATTAGTTTCCAGTTTAATCTTAAAATTTTCAACATTTTTACACATCTTTATATCAAAAGGCAGATTGTTCCATAAAAGACATGCAGAATAATGAAAAGTGCGTTTCATGAATTCCGTTTTGGATTTTTGAAGAAAAAGATATTTACTGGTCTGTGAACGGAGCAAGATATCCGTTTTGGAAACAAGAGATTTTTCAATAAAATAGGAATTTAGATAAAGTGGAGTATTAAATGTAATAATTTTGAATGATAAGACAATTTTATTGTCAAGAATCCTCTGTGTAAGGGTAAGCCAACCGAGTTTAGTAAATAAAGAGGTGGACGGAGTTTCAATCGGTGCATCAAGAATAGTTCTTGCTGCAGTCTTTTGTTATTTAAAAAGAATGTCTAATCTACTTTTGGTAGCATTTCCCCAAATAACAGAGCAATAATCAAATATTGGTAGTTGCGCGCAGTGGGAGAAAACCAGAGGACCCGGAGAAAACCCACTAGGTTGGACAGGCGATCCTAATCCTGATCAGCGGGGAATCGAAACCACGCCATTTGACTCAATGACAGACAATCACTTTTATTTACTGGGGTCACATGTACAATACGAGGGACAAAGCCATCTACGAAGGGGATCTTTACGAGGACGTCAAAAGTACACAAATAGATGAGATAATTTGTTGCCACCAGAAAGAGACTTGCCAACTCGCACTGGAACGGGTGACATTCTAGTTGATATTCCATGCCCATTTTGAAGGAGTGTAAAACCTGTCTCGCCATTGGCCCAGGGCTTACGACTTGTCCTCGGATCCATTCAATGGATTTGATATATGTTGTTTGTGTCTTGTAATGTCTGTGTGGTTTGTCTTCTTTGGTTCGTTGTTGTACTTAGTGTTTAACGTCTGCTTCCACCGAAGGTGATATCGCAGACAAGGTGACCGACCAGTTAAAGGTCGAAGCGTGACACCCTAGACCACTACCCCCCCCCCCCCCCCGCCATGTAGTGGGTTCCTCCTGTTTCTACTATTATTGTGGATAGTTAGCCCTTTGTACTGCAGAATGTTCTCCTCGTTGTTCTGCTTTGCGCCCGTTTGCACTTTATTAAGTTTTAGCGTGTTATATGTGATTATAAAGCTGTATTTGTTATCATGAAGTCATATTAAATGTGATTATAAAGTTGTATTTATATTACAATGATGGAAGTATAATGTGATCATGAAGTCATATTATATGTAATTATATGTAAGCTATATTGTTATAACAGAAATGAAAAGTTTTATAAATGTGATTATAAAGTTGTATTTTTATATATAGAGCAGGGAATATTATATGTGATTATAATTTTTATTACAGAGCAGGAAGTATCATATGTGATTATAAAGCTGTATTTGATTTACTTGAAACCAATGAAAACACAACAAAAGAAATTAATACAACTGTTCTAGCGAAGATTAATAATATTACTACCCTACCAGCACCTGTTGATACGATCTACACAAATCAACAAATTTACTCTTTTATCAAATCAGGTCAGTATCTTTTGTTTGAAAGATATATTTTTTCGAAAGTCGAGAGCATAAATGCCGCTCTTCGACCTCTAGCTGGCCGATCACCTCTTGCGGCTGTGATTTCGATCCCTGGTGTGAGCGTATGTGGCGCCTTCTCATCCTCGTGGGTTTACGCCGGGTACTCCGGTTTCCTCTCACAGGAAAGACCCCTGCGTGTGCGCTAAGATAATAACAAATATAAATAAAACTTGTCGGTGGAAGCGGACGTTAAACACTAAGAACAACAACAAGGAAAATATATTCAAGGTATAGAGCACATTAGGTCTTGTATAACGGCTATTTTATCACCCAATAATACATTCTACAGTAGATATCGCTTGTGTGATATATTTCAGAATCTACTGCGATATCTCCTTATTAAAAGTAACTGTTTTTATATTAAAAATTAACTATTGTTATTCAATTGACCTTGATGGAAACACTGGGTCAATATAAAAGACATTGCAATGGTTGAATTGCTGTCAAAAAAAGATGTATCACTACGCCGTAATGTTCAGTAAAAGTGAAATCTACAGCAAAGACTTATATTTATCTATTTGTGCATGTAAGAAGGGATTGGGTGATAAATAAAATCTCCTTCTCGTCTTTTTTGATATCAAAAAATATCAACACTCGTTGATAAAGTAAAAAAAACTCGGCAGAGCCTCTTTTTTTGTTACTTTATCAACTTGTGTTGATATTTTTTGATATCAAAAAAGACTGGTAGGAGATTCCTCTATGTATACGAACTTCTTACTTTATTTATCGTGAGCTTCCTAATCACGCCCGCCCTGTCTATAATTTTTCGTTTCTAGTTTTCAGTTTTCATTAACGACCTATAGCAAGACAATTTTAACAACAAAGTCTTATGGCAACTCAATACAATAATTTTATCTTTGAAAATGAAATGGGGTTTAACGTGCTTTCATTTTTCACAGACCATGTTAATGAAGTTCGACGTACCATGAGGGCAATATTTCCAGGTCATATTGTGTTAAATATTTCTGTCAGTATATCAACAGTGGCGCACGTACAACAGTACTTATACTTGTACTTAGAACGACATATTTTACTTGGATTTTCGAAACCGAAGCTATTTGGTGGAAAGTGACCTGTTTTTAAAATTCATTACATTTCTTGTTTCTAACAGATGCTGTACAGAGCCTAAAGAATCCATGCTACAATGCCTGTCCTGATGGTAGTCACTGTACCAGAACTTCAGGTAATGTAACGTGTCATGATAACTGTGAGGGTCATGATTGTGGACAACATGGTGTATGCGTTTTACAACATGGAAAGGCGACTTGTAGGTAAGTAAATGGTTCACTTAGTCGAATTAAAATTAAATTTTCGCCTTGTTCATTTTTCCGTTTATTCATGTGAAACAATCATTCGAGTTTGATTACACCATAGCGATAGTTTAAAAGTTGGGTCTAGTCAGGCATGCATTGTTAGGCTTAAATTACTGCGACAAATATATGAAAAACAATTTAGCCATTGTTTGTGTTAAATGCGACGAAATTGCCAATTATGCTCAAATTTATGTACTTATTTCACTTATTTCTGCTATTTACGAGAGCAACATCGAGTAGGATGTAGACCAGAGATGATATCAAACTTAAAGGCCATAAAAATAATAAAATATACAAAGGTGATTATAATTATATGGTGGACTAATCAAAAGCTTTAGTGGTGTAATTATCTGGTAAATGTGTATCGGCTCTTTGTTCACATGGGTGGCTAAGTGGGTAAGTCGCTGGCTAGCTAACCTGGAGGTCGCGTATTCGATCCCTGCAATGGCCGAGAAAGTTCGTAGGGATTTTCCAGCGTAATTTCCCTTGTCAGTGGTACAGGAGGGAGGGTCTGACAACGACCACTGTCTAGTCGTGCGGATGGGACAAAGAAACAACGGTCCCGTGCATGTAAAAGATCCCTTGGCAGTTGGAATTCGATAGTGCCGCTGCCCGGGCAAAACTTCGCTCATAGTATACTGTATGGCTTATACCCGTCTTCATTATCCCAGTCGGAGCAGAACAGTAAGACGTTAAATCCCATTTCATTTCATTTCTTTGTTAAAGCAGGATAGTTCACAAGTAATGTAGACTTAAATCACAAAAATGTTTCCATTTCTTATTGTTTTGTTTTTTAAGATGTGATGAGAATCCCGATGTGATATACAGTGGAGAGAAATGTGATGAAGAAATAGAGAAACTATTATTACCATCAAATTATATCATTATTATAAGTTGTAGTATATTTGGTGTTACTATCATCATCACTATTATCATAGTTGCTGTGATCAAAAGAAGGTTTAATAAGAAGAAACCTGAAGTGTAAGTCCCCTATTATTTGTTTTATGCTTACATATATGTATTTATGATTTTACAACGGTATTCGAGGGGGGGGGGGGCGAATGGTTAGCGCGTGCGCGCTTTGCGCGCTTCATCATAAGATCTGTCCATTAGTCAACTGGTGTGGTTTCGATTCCCCGGTTGCACGTGACAAGGAAGAGGGTCGCCTGTCCAACCTCGTGGGTTTTCTCCGGGCACGCTCGTATTGGAATACTTCGCTCACCAATCACAATAGAGACATTACATTAAAACTAAATGTGTTCTATGGTATTGTTTTAGACGGTAGGTTAAAAAATGACGATCAACTTTGCCAATCGAAAGTATAAATTACAAAATAACAATCATTTGATACATTTTATTTCCTGTTATTTTCTAGTTCATCTATAATAAAAAAGAATATATTGAAAAACCCAAAGTAACCAAATATCAATATGACCAAAATATTGTTTGTGTAAAATAAACAACCATAGAACATGTTACCAGATATGCTGGAAGGGCTAAAGTAGCGTTATTTAATACTAAGATAAGGAGCTGGGACCTGTTTCCCGAAATTTTAACTCAGATAAAAACCAAATTTTAGTAATTTGAGTGGATAATATTAGATTGATTTTTAGAGCTTAGGATTTTGTATCTTTGGTTAAGATTTTGAGAAATAGGGCCCCGGTCGTTAAAAGTAGATATTGGAAATTGAAGACATTGAAAATATCAGTCAGGTTATGAATGTCAGGTTATGAATGTCTGCAGTGTTGAGAAGAATGTCGTTGTCTAGATTGTCATTGATACGATTGTCATGGATTTTCCATTTTAAATTTAGCATATTAAATGACGCGGGTGGTCTAACCCTCTTAATATCCAAGCCATTCAATGGCCTAGAGAGGGTTGATTATCAATATCTAAATGATTATTTTACAATAGGCAGATTCAGCTCTTACATGATGCGCCATTTTGTAAGTTTTGTGAATCTTGATATTTCTCTCGGTTAACAACCCCTGCGCATTTCTCTAATTAGTATTCATCCTTACTTGCAGTAGGCATAATCCGCTTTCGATCGAAAATGGTCCCAGTGAATTCGTACTTCATGAAGAATCGAGAATGCGTCAACAACAATTCAATTACGAAGTAACGGGAGATCGACATAGGTACATTGACTCGGTGCAGCAAAACATTACTGAGACAATGGAAAGAGTCGATGATGTCAGAGCACGAGACATGACATGTGTCAGTGATCAGGTTACAAGTAACAGACGACAGGTATTGTAATTATGTTATTTTACGCTCGTACTTTTACAGTTAATATATATGGTATTATAGAATGCGACATCTACTTTGTGGTCGTTCCCAAATCTCTGTCAGAGATGTATTGAAGACTGGGATAATGAAGATGCGCACGAGGGAAATGTTGGCCGCACACTGGCACTACAAGGGGGAACCACCAGCTTAGCGATCCAACGTCTTACTCACGAGGCCACCGCGGCTACATTCTATGTCAGAGTAACGGTTAAGGTCGCTACTTGATGTAGTATGGTAGAGATCGTTATGCGTTTTATACTAGGCCCATTAGAGGTGTAACCTGAAATATCTGAAATTCCCCAATTGTACATGGAAAGGAGTAGGGTCGCCTGTCTTACCTCGTGTGTTTCTCCGGTTTCAACCCACTGCTATAGATCCATGCCCGCAAGTGCATTATTGAAATAAAAATTATACCATGTGTAACCCCCGAAATGGCCTGATTTTCAGAACTTTAATTTTATTACAGTTTAGTAAATTTTCTGATTGTTGTTCATAAATATAAAACGAAACGCTACGACGTTTCATATTAATTTAGTTACCCAAGTCTTCTTAACAGTGTTATCTACCGTTACAAGCTGTACAACCATAACAATGTTATCTGGTATCACAAGTTGTACAACCATAACAGTGTTATCTACCGTTACAAGTTGTACATTAGTGTTATCTACCGTTACAAGTTGTACAATCGTAACAGTGTTATCTACCGTTACAAGTTGTACAACAGTGTTATTTACCGTTACAAGTTGTACAACAGTGTTATCTACCGTTACAAGTTGTACAACAGTGTTATCTACCGTTACAAGTTGTACAACCATAACAGTGTTATCTACCGTTACAAGTTGTACAACAGCGCTATCTACCGTTACAAGTTGTACATCAGTGTTATCTACCGTTACAAGTTGTACATCAGTGTTATCTACCGTTACAAGTTGTACAACCATAACAGGATTATCTACCGTTACAAGTTGTACAACCATAACAATGTTATCAGACATCACAAGCTGTACAACAACAGTTTCATCTAATGGTATTTAAAAGTTGTGACGTGTGGTAGGTAAATTATGCAACCAAAAACAATGTAAATATCTTAATTTTTGAAAAATATTCTAAACAAATTATTTTACTTTTATTTTTCAAGAATTACATCAATTATCCAATAAATTTAAGAACGTCTTTATCGAGTGATAATGATGGTTTCGCGGAAGAAACAGAAATGAGTGAAAAGCTGCAAAGGGGTTCCATTTATGTCAAACTAGATACAGAGACGTCGGTAAATATAAAAATTTCATTTGATTCTCTTATTTCATTTTCTAAAAGGCTGTTTGTATTTTAGTGGATGTTAGTTAGGTTGACACAATACACCCCTCCCCCATACTTGCATGTAGTAATGCCATTTTGGGCCTGGGGGTTTGATTCAAGTGGCGTGGCTTCGATTCCTCGCTCGTACGTGACAACCAGTATGGTCGCCTGTCAAACCTCGTGTGTTTTCTCTGGTCCTCCGCTGCCTCCCACAGCTTAAGATCCCTACACGCTAGATAATTATTGACATAAAATTGAACAATATGTTAGGACTGAAATTTTGGACGCCGGTAGTTCGATGGCCATTAAAAGCTCTCTTAATGTATTCTGTCTACACCCTGCTGTCGTCGCTATATGTGACGTATTTTGGCTATGAATGCCGCCGTGGGCTATCTTGTAAGCCTAAATCTAGGTTATCTCGGGGTGTGCGAAAAGGCGTTGGGCTATCTTGTAAGCCTAAATCTAGGTTATCTCGGGGTGTGCGAAAAGGCGTGTTTTAAAGTTTCTCAGAAATTGGAACCTAAGCAGTTATTAAGATAACCTTTCTATATTTTCAGTTTGTAATTCGACGTCCACAGATTCTTGATTAATACGTTAATATGTGAATATGAATAATTTAAATAATTGTTTGATCATTTTTTGAGTATATAATATTTTCATTTGTAACAAATCATTTTGAATATATATTCCATTGTCTATGGAATTAATAACCATTATCAACTGAATGTAAATAAAGCATTATACATTATAGATACATTATGTAAGATTTAAATAAAGAGCTTGCAGTTTCTGTTATAATAGTTCAAAAATAGATACTAAAAATTTCTTCAAATTATTTTATTTTGAGCGAAGTTATAAATTGTTTGAAGTTTTGACAAGATTGGGCATAGATTGTTTTTTATCGTAACAACCGTTTTATTCGAAACTTGGCCTTGATTCGCCATTTTTTAATTACGTCCTATAATGGCGATCTTGTTTCAATCTGTTGAAATCGCCGTTTAATTAATAATAATAATATGTTATATAATATTTGAAGCCAAAATAAAGACCTGCAATAGACAGATTTAGCTCTAACATAACGTATCTTTAAGCTCGCTATTTTGATAACAATCTGGTTGGGATCTGGTTCAACTTCTTGTCTGTGATATCAATAGCTTGGAAGCAAACGTTAAACCGCAACTAGGGCATCAGTCAGCCTGCTTCAAACTAGGGAATGCTTTGTAAGCATTGTACGCGTGTTTAAAGGAGGTCAAGAATGGCCACTATAAGGAATGATTTAAACTGGAATCTTCATTTCTTGAGTAAAACACAAATCTTTGCATAGGGATACTATGATACCTAAGGATCATAAATAAAAGACGACCCTCCCTGGTGGCCGACATCTTTAATTCCAAAATGGTCACGACAAGAGCTGTTTGTGTGTAAAAACACTAGACCATTTAGGAATGTTGGATTCATGGGATACGGTGCACTAAAATCGATGTAATAAACAAACCGGGCCACGCCATAGACTTCAATGGGAATAATGTGTATCGATGAACTAAATCTCTTGAATTTCGTAGTTTTGTGGTATTTTTGGTAACAAGAAATATTGAGATTATCACTTACAATCATATATTTGTATGTGTGTTTCTGGAATTTATAAAACATGCTTTCTATTTTTAAAACATGAATAAGCGGAGCAGAGCGTGGTACGTGCATCGAATTCCAACTGCCAAGGGATCTTTTACGTGCATTCCAGTGTATACACGGGACCTCGGTTTTTCGTATCATTCAAAGAATTAACAGCTGTCCTTGTCAGGACCTCCGTTCTGCACAGCTGACAAGGGGAAACTACGTCGGAAAATCCCAATGAACTTTCTCGGTCAATGCAGGGATCGAACACCCGACTTCCAGGCTAGCGAGCCAGCATCTTAACCACCTAGCCACCGTGGCCCCCAACCCCCAGGAGTAGAGTCACTCCCAATTTTTGTATTTATCGTCTAAAGCCTGCAATTCTGAATGGATCATCTTGGAACTTTGCATATTTATTATTTATACCGTAAAGACAGCAACTATTTATTTTGGTGCATGCCCTGACCCCCTTGGGCAGTGTCACACCCACTTTTTGTTAATATTTTGTCTAAAAATTTGGCATAACAAACCCAATGCCTAGCCTTCTTTACCTCTTGCCATATAACAGCCATTTCATATTTCATTCTCTTCATTTTAAAAAGTACCATATCAATCAAAGCAGGAATGTGGACGTATATTGCAGCGTTAGCGATGCTCTCTTAAAATAAAATCTGTCAAGGTATATTACAGATACGATAAACCTAATTAACCCACAAGATAGAATCACATTTTCCCACCCATTAAACACTCTTAGGAAAAACTATAGTCTGTTTTCAGTTTGTCAGAATACAACAGATTCGCCAGAAAATATAGTTTTCTCGATTTTTTTTCTAAATGTACGCACGATTGTTTATTAATATATCTCATTGATGACATGAATCTAGATTTATTTTATTCATTTGGCTAAATATACAACATAAAAAGAACAGGTGCAACCGCAGACTTAATGGGCTGAGATAAGTATATAAAATACAGTCCTTTAAAAATCACAACTAACTCTAAAACGATGAAAATACAAACGATTATACACGAGATCAAGCGATAAACAATGCAGGGAATGGGCTGTATATATCGAAGGGCAACTACTTCCTGTCCTGCGTACGCGTAGCTTTTATTTTGAGGAATTTATGGATCCGTTCTGGGATCCGTAAACTTTATTTCCAGTAGATTATGAACCGCATCTTAGTCTGAGATTAAGAAATATGTTAATCCCGTAAAACTTTGCTAACCATGAGCCACAGCCACCCCGAAAATATTTAATGCCTTTGGTAATAGGATTGGCCAAGCAGTATTTTGACCCTAATCGCCATCTCTTGTTGGTTGGGTCTCATGAAATTGTAACTAGCTGCAACGCGCGATTAACAAATAACCCGAATATATAAAACCAAACATTTTATTCACAATATTTAAACATTTAAATCCCTGTAAAAATCCTACAATGAAACAAATTTACTCTGAATACTAAGATTTTAATTAACAGTTTCATATAATCCATGACAATCAAATTACCCAATATGGATCAAACATTTATTCTGAACTACCTCTTAGTTTTCTGTGCATTTTCGTTTCCTTAAAAGAGTAATACACCCGACCAATCGTACATATATTTCAAAAGTTTCGAATATGAAATAGTGTTATTATGTAATTAAGCACAGGTAACAAAACATCTCTTATTACTATATTTACCGTTCCAAAATCCCTTATTACTTCTGTCATTGACGAAAGTTTAAGCCACTCAGTAAAATTATTGCTTTAATATTAATTGTATATGTGTTATTAAACTTCTGACCATGACTGTATATTTGTTTATGCAAAATCCCTACTATATTTGTCTATACAAAATCCCTACTATATTGTCAATACAAAATCCCTACTATATTGTCAATACAAAATCCCTACTATATTGTCAATACAAAATCCCTACTATATTGTCTATACAAAATCCCTACTATATTTGTCCATAAAAAGTCCCTACTATATTTGTCTATACAAAATCCACTATTACTATTTTTTAAGGGAAATTTAGATAGAAATCAGTGTGAACATAGCGGGCCATAATTTAACAATAACTGAATGGATCCGGGGTCTAGCCGTAAGTTAAATTTGGTGGATAAGTATAATATTTGATTGTAAATTATCTTAAATACTATATTTACCCCTTATATTATATCATGTTGGGCTTTAGTTTACACAGTTTCGTTGTTAGGCTTAATTTGATATATATATATTATCCAATTTATATCTCTTCTTGACACTGTCTCTGTCCGTAAACACACATAAACAGTTTATTATTAATCTTGAAACAATTCAGAGGACATGCCCTTTATTTCTAATATATACGCTTTTAACAATTCAATTAAAGATGCATTATGTAAGAGCTAAATCTGCCTATTGCAGTTGTGTTTTCTGGCTTCAAATCTTATCATTTAGACAATTATCCTCATGACAAACCTATAATCAACTCTCTATGCCGAGATTTAAATGGATTTAAACACCTGCGAGATTTAATAATTTAACGATAAAGTGGATAATCGAGACTTAGTCTCGGTTGTTTAGTACCGTTGTTACGATAATAAACGATCTATGCTACATCTTCCAACAGTAATAACTTCGCCCAGAATAAAGTAAATTAAATGAAATGTCCAATATATTCATTTATCATGATCTATTTTGGAACTATTATAGCAAGAACGGCCAGCTCTCTATCTAAATCCTAGATAATGCATATTTAATAATATTCTCGTTCATAATATACATATCCCATATACACAAACATATTTTTTTTATCAAAATACCAAAATGTGATTTGGCAGAGATTTCACTTTCAATCAATGTTAAACTTTTGCGAAGACATTGTTCGTTGCTCTTTTGGAATCCAATAACCGTAGCTGTTTGCCCTCCTGCGTGAAATCAGAAACTCTGTATTTGTCAATTGCAGCATGACATTCTGTCACACTAATGAGCAATAAAAACGTGTGCGTAAATATTTTATAAAGATTGCTATCTACAATAGTCACAATGTGGTAGGATTTACTAAACGAATGCCCACATCCTCGTCGTACCTGGGTTTATTAGCAACAACCACCTGCACCGGTTTATCTTCATTAATCACTACACTTAAAAAAAAATTAAAACACTTTAGTTTTCTTATAATAATCACCATTTTGAAGGATATAATTTTCAAAGATTGCTAATTAGAAAATAATACTATAATTAGAACGTAGTGTTATAGTTAGAACATAGTATTATAATTAGAACGTAGTGCTATAATTGGAACATAGTGCTAGAATTAGAACATATTACTATAATTAGAACAAAGTGCTATAATTAGAACATAGTGCTATAATTAAAGGATTATGAAGGAGACTGGTCCAGTAGTAAAACTGAAATCTTTAGGTATGCGCAAAAAGGAAAGAATACACTGCCTTATGAACTACACTACATCCATCACTACTTGTTGGGGGAGAGATCGGTTTGAACTTGGTATTCAGAAGCAGGTGATACTTGGAGAGCTTGCAGTGTGGAGATAGTTATCAGGTCTTCTAGATGGTGTGGATTGGAGTTCAGAAGCCGGTGACACTTGCCGAGATGTCCTGCCCCTAGCTAGCGGGGAGGGGGGGGGGGCAGAGGGGCACGTTGATCGTTGGCTTCGTATTGCGTCCAATGGAAAGAGCACTAAAGGCGCCCATTGGGGGAACCGACGATTCTTTCCCCAATGGACAAAGCGATCATTGGATGCGCCGATTGTTTCCAGGGGAGGCAGCTGTACTTCTTGCCCCGACCCCTCGGTAGCTACGGGCCGAGATGGCACGTCGAAGCAATGGCTACTGGCTTCAATATAATCACTTACATTTTTTAATGTTTCAAGCTCTTTTTGCAATCATCTCCAAAATATTTTCTTCTACACCAACAATAATTGGGGGCTAGACATCGTCCACGGTTTTTACAACTTGGTTTACATACAGCTAGGATAAAAGTAAAGATATAACCTCTATAACGTCATGGATAAACAGTAAATACATGACATATATAAATGCACCATAGATAACAACTGGGCGAACATCGATTCATTTTAACAATAAACTGAAAATGAAATCGTGCAGTTACTGTTTTATGTCAATGTGTGTGAACAACCGCTAAAACAAAATGTTAAAGATGCATTATGAACGAGTAAATCTGCCTACTGCAGGACATTATTGTGGCTTATAACGTTATATAAACTATTATTTAGACATGTCTCCACATGTCAAGCATATAATTAACTCTCTAGAATATCGGGTGTCTGAGAATTAAATGGATTAGCACAAGCGCAAGATTTAAAAGGTTAACGATAAAATGGGTAATTGATAATAAACAATCTACGCTATATCTTCAAACACGCATGACTTCGCTCAAAGTAAAGTAATTTAAATAATTTCATTATCTGTGTTTGAACTATTATACAAAGAATGGACAGCTCTTTATCTAAATCTTACATAATAGCTCCTTAAATACTCGTTTATCGTTTACCTAAACAAGAATAGCTGCGGGGTCATGCGAAACTTACGATGTCTCTCTACAATTAGCTTCGCTTGAGAACATACACGAATCTACTTAACCGACATTTTAATGCTTCGACAATTCTCCAATTCTCCAAGTTCAGGTCATTGGACACTGAGGTCCTGTATGTGAGCTAGGTGTTTATATTAGTTATTGAGAATGTCGACGCTTTAAGTAATTATCATTCGACAAATGCGTCTCAGATAAAACAAAATAGACGCGAATTATTAACATTAAACCTATCCTGAAACAACCCTGACCACATTTCGATTTAAATAAACAGTTACCCGCTTATATTGATTTAAAATGGTACTAACCTCTGCTACAATCTGATCCTGTGTATCCTTCTTTACATATACATATATTAGGTTTAAAACAATGACCACTATTCTTACACGTCAAATCACACACAGCTGAAAACACAAACACATAATTTAATAAATTATTTCCTACGACTGTTGTTCGTGTCAGTGATGCAGGGCGGAGGACCTGGCACGGGTAGCTGTCTAGTCGCTCGGATGGGACGAAAAACCGAGGTCCGGTGTACACATTGGCGTGCACGTTAAATATCCCTTGACAGTTGGGATTCGATATAAGAGTACGCCGTAGTGCCGCTGTCCGGGCAAAATTAAAATTTCCCTCGTAGAACACTGTGTGACGTATGCCCATCTTCATTAGCCCAGTTCGGAGCAGAACAGTAGGACGTTAAACCCCAATTCATTTCATTTGTTGATAATATAGGATACTTTTAGGACAAACATATAGTATATTTCGTCCTTGGTCACGTTCATCTTGCAGAGTTAGCGCCGATGGTGCACACTTTACTTCGAATTCCAACTGCACACGGATTGTTTTACGCTGCCACACTTTCCTTGTTTTCGCCAGTAAAATAGTCAAGATTGGACCACACAGTTCTTAAAACTCGTGTTGTAAAACATTTAAATTGAAACGAACCTTTATCACATCTATAACCTGACCAACCCGATTTACAGGAACATCGATCTGGTGCTTTACATCTTCCCTGGTTATTACATCCTTGTCTACATACAGCTACAAATATATTGGTTTAAATATATATAATTGGTTTAAATATAAATAATTCGATTAAATATAAATAATTGGTTTAAGTATGAATAATTGGTTAAAGTAAGAATTGGTTTAAATATGAATAATTCGTTTAAATATGAATATTTGGTTTAAATATGAATAATTCTCTAATTGGAATAATCACACTATATCATAAATGGAGGTCAAACAATATTAACGTTCTTTGTTCAGGCTCTGGAAAACAGCCTACAGCAATACAGTGAAGTCAAGTAAGGATCTTTGCTCAGACTCTAGAACACAGCCTACAGCAATACATTGGGTTCAAGTAATATATTGAAGTAAGTCGGACAAAGAACGTTAACAAAATTACTTAACTTAATCTATTGCCGTTAGGTGATTATTCATACCTAATCAGCGGTCAGAACGAAAAGACCATCAACATACATTGTCCCAAATTTTGGAATCAGAACCTACTGTAAACCTTCCTTGGATAGTAACAACTATATTTTTGCTACATCAAATGGGTGAAGGAAAGAAAGGAATAAATAATCGTAGTTCAGATTCCACAAGATGGACGGTGTTAATTTTGGATAAAACTTTCTTTAAAACCTTTTCGACTGATCGACCAAGCATTTGGTCTTCATTAAGGTCCACAACCATCAGCTAACCTTGGTAACAGTCAGGCTACAGCTACTATATTAGTGCATAACTGCGGTGATCAGGCCTATTAATTTGCCGTGTCAAGTTTCATAATATTCTCCTATTGATCACGTCAAGTTTGGACAGGCTTTAGCAATGGTGGCTAATGATTGCGGACAAGAGGGTAAGATCAAGGGACAATATTATAGTTGCTGTTTCTGCAGATTTAACACGGCCCATACATAAAATGATTACCTGTCTGGCAGCGGTCTCCTGCATACCCATAAGGACATTTACACGTATTTTTACGTTTACATCTACCGCCATGTAAACATGATGGATTACAAATAGCTGAAAAATATAATAAGTACTTGTATGGCCCCATAGACCGATTAAATACATTTCAGGATTGTTCCATGAATTTTCCGATGTGGTTTCCCCTTAAGATCCCTTGGTAGTTGGAATTCGTTATAAGAGTAGGTTACAGTGCCGCTGCCCGAGCAAAATTGCCATCATAGCACACTGTATGGCGTTGTGCAAGTCTTTATTTGCCCAGTATTTGACGTTAAACCCCATTCCATTTCATTTCAAGGTTTCTATTCATTTGACACAAATAAATGGTATATATTTAGGAGGGAAATTAAATAATAAATTGAAACGGGTGGGGTTGTTCTCGTTATAATTGGACATCGGAAAACAATACACGATGTATTCAGTTCAAAATGACATTTTGTTTGCGAGACATAAAACTCGATTTCTCTTCCTTTGGTCTTACAAATGCGCCATGACTATTCCACAGTACAACTGATTGTATTGGTTTAATGACGTTTGTTGGCTAACCAATTATACTGACCATTTTGACACCGCTTTCCATAGTAACCATACGGACAACGACATGTTCCACTTTGTGTACACCTTCCCCCATTAAGGCACGTCGGACTACACTGTTTTCTCTCACAGAAGAATCCATAATACAATGGCCTACATTTACATTTGTTTGGACCCATACACCTTCCACCATTAAGACATTGAAAGTTACACGCCACTTAAAAATAAAACATTAATCAATTTTACCTTTTAGTTACGCTAGAAGTATTTGGTTCTATTTTTTTATCTTGACAACTAAAACAAATAGTGTTTATTTAAGTGGTAACATTAGTGCAATTCAAAATTCATGATACGTTGCTTTTAAAATATCAGCTGCCGTACATACGTTGCGGAACTCGAATTTATCATATAGTTGTTTGCTATTGTAAAACATTGCAAGACCGCTTTCATTTGGATCAAATAAATTTGTCCATTTCATGTTATGTCTTACTCTCCATTTGTTAACAGTGTTATATTTATAATTAAAGCGAGTTTTTGTCCAAGGCCAACAAACCAAAATTTCAGCAAAGATCACGTAATCTTGTACAACAAGAATTTAATCGTATAGAGCTTGCCCCCCTCACTAACCAAAATACCACATAAGATCAGTCTAATTCAATATTTTATCCTGACATAAATCAAACCGTTTTATATCCCCTATGTAATGTTATATAATCCTAAGAAGAAGAAAATATTTCGCTCAAAATTGTAAAATGAAAAACCAACAAAAGAGACAGATCGCTAGGTAAAAACTAGATATAAAGAGAAAAAAATATATAATGAAGCAAGATAATAATATTTGAAAATCCAAATGAAATATAAAGATATATATAAGTGAACCAAAAGACAGAAGATAAGTGGTTGGGAGTTTGGTAGTAAACAAAGGGAAACGTGAAATGACCAGAGCAATATGATAAATACCAAACTGGTTCAAATACATATCTATATTTCGTTCCGGTTATTTTATACATCCGATGGCCTCTACTACATGAAAAGCTGACCATTTGTAGTGGGAGGTCGTGTCAGGGGTCATACGAGCGGCTTTTGACCCTATGATGTCAGAAATTTATTAACCAATCAGCCAGCGTTGATGTTTCTAGTGGGTTACCTACAGTACCGTGCACCTCACGCCAAGACTCGCCGTTTCATTTGCTAATCCCTCACAGAAAACGCGGGTGGTATAACAAATCTTCCAGATCCTAGTGTACTAAAGACAAGAAAATCGAAATTTTGAACTATGAAAAACGAAACGAAATACGATCTGTGTTTTAGTCAGTTTGGATAAACACAACCTGTTTACACCAAAATAAATTTTAAAAAGTACAATATTCGTGCAGCACAACATAAATGCGTATATTTGCTAAGTCTAAATGAGTAAAATCTAGAAAAGAACTGCTAACATAAATAATACAGGTGCTAGGCCACATCTATATCCGCCAGTGAACTAATACCTCTCTGACATCTTGAACCACTATAACCTGGTAAACAGCGACATCGATTCGACGAATAACAACTTCCTTCATTTTTACAAGGTGGAACACAAGTGGCTGGAAAACAGGAAGAGCATTGCGGAGAAGGACAACAACAGACTCTCTTGGCAGTCTAGAATATCCAGTCATAGACAGCTGTTAATATACCGAGATCCAATAAAGCCTTGTACTTTAGAAATATGTAACTTCGTGTTTCACTAAAACCATTTCATTTTATAATTAACAACAATATGAAAAGTTATATTTTCTGTGATATCAAATTAGTTCTATAAGTTAAACAATTTCATTTAAGATTAAATGACAATGAAATAAGGAACAGTTTACTGTTTGTGTTGACTGTTCTTTAATACACACAACATTCTATGGAATACGTTTGGACGATGGGGATTCCCTCATCTCTGTCAATTAAGACAAAGTTTGCTGGTTGAAACTTGCCATAAATAAACATTCAAGTAACTTAAAATTAAGACACCTCCCCACCCCCTCCTCCTTCGATTCATTGCGTTTGTTTCTTTTTTTAAACTGGTCTTATTGTAGCCAGTAAAAATAGAAACAAAAGGTGGTAATCCCTTGCATAGATTTTACATAATGTGTATAATAATAATTTTATCATAAACTTACAGATTTCACAAAATTTTCCTTTGTATCCTGTGAAGCAAGTACAGTTATTGGGGGTGGTACATAATCCTCCCTTTTGACACGGTGGATCGCAGATTGCTATTAAAAAAATAAATATTATAGTGAAACACATCACGCAACTGAATTAGGCAATTGTTATTAGTATTATAAAACCATAGTTGTTGCGGCCAGGAAAAGGCCCAAAACGCTACTCATCTTGCTGGTCTCCTTGGTGGCGGCTAACCTGGAGGTCACATGTTCGATCCCTGCATTGGCCGAGAAAATTCATCGGGATTTTCCGACGTAGAATACCCTTGTCAGTGGTGCAGGACGGAGGGCCTTACAAGGATAGCTGTCTAGTCGTTCGGATGGGACGAAAAACCCAGGTCCCGTGTATAGATTGGCGTACACGTAAAGGATCCCTTGGCAGTTGGAATTTGATAAAAGAGTAGACCATAGTGCCGCTGCCCGAGCAAAATTTCCCTCATTGCACACTGTATGGCATATGCCTTTCTTCGTTAGCCCAGTTTGAGCAGAACAGTAGTACGTTAAAACCCGTTTCATTTCATTTCCTTGTTTGCGACGCACAGAGTAGTATTTTTGACGTCACAAAACCAAGATGGGGGTGATGATGCCATTCTCGGTCCGTGATCCATAAAGTACTATCGTTTGTATAATGTTGTATTGGCTTGCTAACCATTAGGGTCTTTGTTCGATCCATGTGTTGGCTGAGAAAGTTCCTTGGGATTTTTTACTAGCGTGTTTCCCTTTATCAGATGTGTAGGATGGGGGGCCTTGCAAGGAACAACGATAGTTGTTGATCTGACCAAACTATTGAACCAGTATTACCTAATTATGCTGTACAACTTACCACGTTATGGTTGTGATGGTTATATGACTATTTCAATCTCTGGCTAAATTGTCTTACCTTTCTGACATCGGTTGCCGGTATAACCATCAGGACATCGACATTTATCAGGTTCATAGCAAGTTTTATATTGACCACATGGCGGATTACATATAGCTGAAACATAAGATTTTATCTAAAATGATTGAAAGATGTATTGTATCGATAACTCTGTCCCTGAGTACTTATTGAGGGCCACGGAGGGTTGGTAAGGCACGGGCTCACTAACCAGGGGGTCCAGGGTTCAATTCCGGGGTTGACCGAGAGGAGAGTGTTCATCGAGACTTTCTAGCTTGATTTCCCCTTGTCAGTGGTACAGGACAGGACGGGATCGGGTCAGTGTCTAATCGTTCGGATGGTACGAAAACCCGAGGTTCCGTGTACACACTGGTGTTCAGGTAAAATAACCCTTGGCAGATGCAAGAGTAGGAGTAAATGCCGCTGACCGGGCAAAACCTCTCATAGTACACTGCATGGCATGTCAGTTGAAGCGAAAAAGTAGGACGTTAAACCCCATTTTATATCTAAGCATTTATCTTACCATTTGTTAATCTAGATAATTTAATTCATCATTTGTTAACAATAAACAAATTCTCACATAGTGGCCATTCCCGAGATTTGATATTTATCGTGTACATTGCAAATATCACCAAATGACTGATGTAATGTAAACCAATTTCCACGCCCAGTTACTGTCTAAGATACCATTTAAAGGGTTTTCAAAGAAGGCTATCAACTTTTGTATATAAAAGTTTTATATACAACTGCAATCAACTTGCAAACATAAATACAGTCCTTTAGCCAAATTTTACAGGAGAACGTCACACCGAAAATCCCAGGGCCCTTAAAACCAAGACCAGCACATACTTTTGAAGTTTCAAATTGTTAAAAGGCCCAGGGATTCAACTAAAGAATCCAAGCTAGTGGATACTTACGTGTGCATGTTGTTCCATTGCCCTCATATCCATCTGGACAAGGGGAACAACTGTAGCCTGGGTATTCTTTTATTTCACTACACTCGACTAATTCAGAACATACTTTATGTTCACACGCTAAAACATCTGTAAAATATGTAAAATAAAATATATACTACGGTTTAATTTAACCAATTTCTTATCTTTAATATGGATATCCCAATCTGTTTCACAGAGGATTACGAAAGTCTTCTAATATCTCTGTCAATCATTGGCTCAATGGCGCGTGCATGGTTTACATAAGACCTTACTGGTTCGGGCGGAATGTAGCCTTTTACTCATTTTAATACCCATTTACACTAAACAGGAAATAATGTTTACCTACAAATATGTCAAACGTCTTTATTTATTTTTCTAATACATAAAAAAAATGTTTCAGAATTTGATTTGTCGTAGGAAAGGAAAAAAGTTAATTTTCAGTAAGTCGCATCGATGTCATCCTTATCTGTGATTGTCGCGGCCTAGAGAATATACACTGCTGATCAGTGTGTGAATATCCCAGTTGCAATACAAATAAGAGAGACTAAATCTTATTTCATATCAAATGGACTAGATGTTTGACGGAATTTAAACTCTCAGTGGTCTAATAAAAAGAGTGACTTACTCTTATGTCATAACAAAGGGACTCACTATTTAACGTAAATTTGAACTCTTAGTGGCCTAACCGCCTTTTAGAACAAAAGTAGGAGCGACTTGCTCTTATTCCATAACAAAGAGATGCGAAATTTGACGTGAATTTGGCCTATACATAGTTAGAATAAAGACCATTGGATAGTTATGATTTTCAACGGATTTAAACACGATCATCTGTTAATAATTTAATTTAAAATGCTTAATCGAGACTTTGTTTATTATCGTAACAACGATAACAATGACAACCAAGACTGCACTATTCTTCAAGCGGCTATCATTTCGCTCAGAATGAAATTATTGACTGAAATTATCAACATATTGAACTGTCCGCTCTATATTTAAATCTTACATAATGCATCTTTAGGATTCAAGTTAAAAGTTACCTTTCTTTTTACAGTCCACACCATCACCGATAAAGAATCGTGGACATTTACCACAAATAAAACCATTATCTGGTGCTTTCATGTCTTTACACGTTACACTAGAAAAACAGGGGGACGATAAACAAGAATCAATTTCTGAAAATAAATTAAAACATGGAATAAAAAGGGACAATAAATGATTATATAAAGAATTTTAAATTTGAATAGAATAGCCTTACACATAACTTGGCACCAGTATTTTCTTTCATTATTAAATTTCTTTCATTGTCACCTTTTTTAGGTAAAAATGTGAAGATGCTGGTTTTGAATCAAAACAATGCACAATTCCGTGTTTTGATTAGGAATATTTGCATTTTACTTTGATGGTATTTCAATATTTTACGCATAATTGGTTTACAAAATGTGTCGCTATTTCGTATCGCTTAGAACCTTATCCTTTAATGTCAAGTCACTAAGCGTCTATATCTTTGTTTTTACATTGTCTAATGTCCGAGAATATAGATAACGGCTTCAAAATGAAATTATGCAAACCGCTACATTTGGACGTGGGTTGATTACCAGTATCAATACCACACCAATCGGGCATTCATTTATCGAAATAACGTTGAACAAGTACGAACCATTCTCACCGTTCTGGCATCACTTCCCCATAATCCTAAATGGACAGAAATATTGTCTCAGAGTTTCAGATTGTATAAAATTCTTGGGTAATCCCCCAGACCTCATGGCAAACTTGACAATGTCTCCACCTTGCTTAAGTTCCTGAACATCGTTCCAGTATTCGACCTAGGTGTAACATTAACATTGACAGTCGATCTGGTGTGATTTCTAGAATGGAGCCGAATGAATATTAAGAGTGTGTTTACATTGGATTACAGAATAAGGTTACCTGTACACTGTACACCATCACCAGTTAAACCTGGTGGACAGCTAGTGCAGGCAAACGACCCCGGTGACGACAAACATACAACACCAGGATAACACGGATCATCATTACATAAATCAGTTGATATCTCACAATGGACTCCTTAAATTAAACAAAAGTAGATACTGTAAAGTCTGTCTATAACGTTTCTCGGGAGTTGGAGTAATTCTGGCGTTATATACGGGCAGTAGTATCAAATACATACTTATAGCTAATGTCAGCATATCGGTTTATTCATAATTTGATGATCTCGACACAAAACAATTTCTGAACCGTTTATTTAATAATATAAATCAATTCATGTTGATAAATATGGTGTCATCAAACCGTTAACTAAACAATAAACTCTATATTCAATTTAGTGAAAACATGTCATATGTTCGAGTCATCTAAACATTCGGATTATCTTTAGGTACATTGTTCGTTATACAAGACCTTTGTCCACAACCTTGTAAAAGCGGAATTAGCTTCCTTGTGATCTTTGTTGATCGGTTAAAACATTTTTTTTGTCTACACAGATGCAGCCGGGTGTTCAAAAAGTGACAGAGCAAACCAATATTTGAGATAAAAGCGTTTTACTAGTTCCTGCGAGCGTTACTTACACAGAATTCACTTCGTTTTCGTGCATATCGTTTCACTCCAAGGTAGGCCAGGGATTAGATCCTTGATATTGAGATATTTTCAAAATACAAAATATAAAATTAATAAATTAATAGCGTGTATTTTCTTGTTGAAAATGCTAATGCCTCTTTTAACTAGATTAACCTTTTGAGTTTTTGGATAGTTTTTAGTATGATTACCTACCTTTATATCCACCCGGACATACACATTGATAAGCTTGAAGATAATCTATACAGGTACCGTGATTACAGGGATTAGGTTCACAATCATTGATTTCAACCTCACATAACTTTCCTGAATAGACAATTTAACATTAAGCTTCTTGAACATTTAGCTTCTTGAACAAATAAATACATATCTAGCAAATCAGTAACAGGTACTATAGATCCGGAACTGAGTATAGTATGACGTCATCACAACCATTGTGACATGATATCCAAAAACGAAATCTGGGAATAGATGCACACTCGTCAAAGGAACCAGCATGCCAAATACCACGTCGATCGTACATGAATTGACGGGGCCATAAGCTTTTTTCAAAGAGCGTCGCCCTCAAAAACAACCAGAACCAAAAAACGAGTTCCTGGTCCGAGGGTCCCCCCCCCCCACGACCCATGCCACAAAACAAATAAGCGTACTCAATTGTTTTATGTTTTATATCTCTTAATGTGCTTATTATGGCGTGGTAAGGACAGGGTAGCAAAATGTGCCACAATTTCCTTTTATGGAATAATAGACTTTTTCCAGTTTTTTGGAACAATAGACTTTTTCAGTTTTTCGTAAAAATTTCGCTAATTCCCAGAATGAATTCCATATTTTTATATAAATGAATAATGAGGTAATATGTGATGGTATTTGGTAGTACTTAATTAGCTTTGGGAAGTATTGGTTCGTTTTGTTTACTTTTACATCATCAGAAACATATAAATAAAACGAATTAATTGCATCTTTAATTCGTTTTATTTATTTGTTTCTAATGATGTAAAATACGTTGATTTTCTAGAAATTTTAATTATAATGTATACCAGTATAGCCCCCGGGACAGGAACAGGTATATTCAAATGGACCACTGATAGAATCAAAACCACTGGAACATGTTCCATTATGAAGACAAGCACACGCTACTACAATTATCTGAAAATAATACAGACACATAAAAATGGAACGCTGTGAAATAAGGTGTGTATCATTACCAGGCTGTTAACATGGAGTTAAAATAATGTACTTCAACCAATAAGTAATTTACTACTGAAATCAACTGTTTGCCCAAACTGCTTGTCTTTCAATTCCCGTGGCTCGATGAGAATGGCGCTGGCACACTAACCAGGAGGTCCACCAGGTGCTATCCCGGTGATGGCCGTGAAGGTTCGGCGGTGGTGCAGGAAGGGGATCTAGGAAAAAAAGGCGTCGAGTCGTTAGGGGGTGTCGTGCATGCCACTGAAACTTCTGTTTCTGGGGCGCCACATAGGCTTGTGAGGGCCCTGATCCCATAGCAAACTATATAACCGGTAGATACAGAGAAGTAAGACGCTAAACCCCATTTCATTTTATTTCGTTCAATTCCCCAAATCCTATAGTTTATAATTGCCATTACATCATCCAAAAAGTCAATGAGGAATTGTGGTAAATTGATGGACTGAGAGGTTGTGCATTAAGGAGAGCCAGGAAATAAAAAGTATCGAACCGTTCGGAGGTCTGGTGAATACCATTGGCAGCACGTTAAAGATCCCCTGTTAACATGGTCCAAAGGGTCAACGAGGACGTGCGGTGTATTTCTAAGCCGGCGTAAGAAACGTAACAACAGCAATATAAATACCTGTATCTGCAGTTTTGAAGTAAAATTACAAATGTCTGTAGCAAATACATCAAATAATTCTAATTTTGGTGTTTCTTTTCTGTCGATTTGTGACGTATTCCAAATTAAAATATTTTCCTCGACAATTACAGCCTCAGGATGATCTACACCCAGGACAACTTCATCTCCTTCGGGATCATAGGCATTGATCATAACCCTCACTACGTCATCAAGAAATCTGACAACCTGTTTATTTCGGACATCAAAAACAGGCGGAAGGTTGTCTGTGGATAAGGAATAAAACCAGAATTAAAAGAATATTTAAATGTTCGAAATTGAAGCCGGCGAGGATGGAAATGATAATAATGATACGGACGTCGAAACTGAGGAAGATGGCTTGCAACACGCACATATGTCGCGTCTCGTAAACTATGTTTTTAGGACAAATTTTCATTTTATGCATGCGTTCATTATAATGTTTAATTTTAACAATTCAGTGTTAAGAGAAATATTTGCCTTAAATAAAGATATAATGGAGGGGGGCTAAATCTGTCTATTGCAGGTCTTTCTTTAGGCCTGAAATGTTATCTAAATTATTACTTAGGCATTAATTAACTTATCCAGACCATAATCAACTCGATATCAACCCTAGCCTGTGATATCTACAGGATTAGGTTACCATTTGCTGCTCCAATTTCCTTCTTGATTTAATTATGAAATGGAAAATCGAGATTATGTTTTTTTATCGTACCGACTTTAGTAATGATGATCGAGGTTAGGCCGAAAATTCAATCGCTAGAGTCGATCAATTTGACTGAAATTTTCAGTAAATTCCCTTTACATTATATAGTGGTTAGCTATTTTAGCGAGAACTGCCAGCTTTTTATCTAATCTCCCATAGTGTATCTTTAAGTAATCTATTTTGATTCATGTTACAAGCAATCTTTTAACCTATCCCTAGAGCAGAGACAGCGGCTACCCCTTGACAAAAACGTGACTATGACTATAAACAACATGACGATGACATAGGACACACTACTTTTCATGACTTATGTTACAGACTGTTCATCATAATTGGTGGTCATGGATTAAGATGAAATAAGATATAAATATAAGCAATGAAGTTTACCTTCCAACCCTGTCCAACTTGATATTGATTCTGACGGTATGCATTGTTGACATCTATTTTTTATATTCCGTGACAACGGTGGTTGACATTTACCGTCTATATAACACATATTGTCCTACAAAACATGAAAATAGAAAACTCAAAACCACAATACATTTAAATAACACATATTGTCCTAAATGACATGAAAATTGGAAATTCACAAATACAACATATCTATATAACACATACTGTCCTTCATAAACAATAAACAATGCATCGAAATAGCAGTTGACAGATTTTTTTATAGTTTTGTTTTTCAAATTTCAAATATCTAACACAATATACAAGTAAATATTCGACGTTCACAAACGAAGAAATCCCATTAATAAGCTTTTCATCAGATATCAACTTTTGTTTAGCAACGCGTTCAGAACTTTCCATAATTTTTTAAATATGATGCACAATTATAGAAACATTTTAAATTCGATTTAAATACTGAAAGATATCATTACTCACCATTGTCCGACAGCCGTTATCCTCAATACACACTCTACATGTTGAATCATATATAACAAAATCTCTTTCAGCAACCCGTTTTCTTCGACCGTTCAGAACCTGAGGGTCAAAGATCAGATTATAATAAGTTGGTCGTGTGTGTTATTTCAATTAGTGAATGGACAATCTCTATACGATTCAATTTTTGTTTCAAGTTACGTTGTTTCCAATATGTTATTTTCTCTTTTGGTTTACAATATTGTGACTTGGGCAAACAGTCTGTTATATCGCAACGGTGGCCTTAATGTGTATCTATGGACGTAAAATTTGGAAAATCCAAATCAAAGAAGCACTGTCATTGAAATTGAAATGTTAAAATATATCATGACATAAGCGTTAGCTTTCCCAACTGAAGAAAGATACACCGGTCATTTCTTTACTAAAATATATTTTAACAATTCGCTTGGGCGTAGATGTTTTTATTAGCAGTTAGATTCGCTTGCGCATAGAGGGAGGAAACGATAGATCCCAGAGAAAGTAACGTAGGCGATACTTCTCACGTACATGATTGGGGTCAAAGGCAAGACACTTATATGGAAGTGTACTTGCTAACCCACCTAACCATTTGACTTCAAGGCAGGTGTTATCAGCTTAGAGCTTTATACTCCTCACGGAACAAAGGGATCCGGCCTTCGGCCAATTGCAGCTCTAGAGTGGCAAGTCCAAACATAACCTAGAACATCGCACCTACTAGGGTCGGGCCTGTGTAAATATAGTCTCGATTGAGGCCTTCCAATGCATATTAAACATGGAGAATTTTACCTCAATATTCACTTGTTCCACCGGTGCCATATCTGCAAATGCTCGATCTAGAAAGTTTCTTGGTGGTAACATACAATCTAATTCCTTCCTTTTAGTTTCAATACCAATTAACATAGAGTTATTAGATTTTCTCGTAATACCGTTTGCAACCTAAAAGTAATCCATAGTAATTAAGGTCGCTTGTTTCAAATAGTGAATTTAATAGTTGTTTAAAATGTTTCACAATAATTTAACTCATCCTTGATCCAATTGTGACCATCTCTGGCTAAATGTGACACTAAAAAAATATTTTTCTACCAATGTTCTCCATTTATCTCGGCAAGAGCTCGTCACATTTCATAATTAGATAAAGGGGCATTGAATGTTAGCTTCACTTCCCGTTATGTTTTATGAAATTTAATAATCGCTGTTTTATAACAGATTCAATGGCATTATAAGCTCAATTCTAGTATAATGATGTATGTAATGATTTCGATAGAATTATATTAAGTTGAGTTGAACACATTGGGATTTGTATAACTATTTTAATAGAATTGTAATGTGAATTATAATATCAGGATTTGTGCAATAGCTTCCACAGAATTATATTAAGCTGACTTATAACACATTATGAGCTGTATAACGATTTTAATAGAAATATAAACTGAATTATAATTGGGGCGATTGGAGGACGGAGAGAGCAATTGACTACCTGTACAGGTAACATATGCTTCTTTGTTATGAAACAAGGCCATAGTTAGCAAAACTTCGATATTCAACAATTATTATTGAATCAGATTATGACGAAAGCGATGTTTTAAACATTTCTATTCTTCTCGTTAAAGCGAAAGTTAATTCTGGTAATTTACTTACCTTCATTGGCGTGAGTTTGCACTGAAATCTTGGATTAACCTTTGGAATAAAGAAGACCACTTTTGTACAATCATATATATTTATGTCACACAGTTCGTACGTCTTGTTCCATTTTATTATAGTGATTTCTGTTGTCGGAATAAATTTTGGAAATGTTTGTCTGGGACCCTGTAATAAAGATTGTCAATTTAAAGCCAGACTTTGAAATTACCATCTACAACTTAACATTTACAAAGGCGAAAATGATGTTTATATTTTCTTCGAAAAAAAAAATATGAATATGGAAATTCACTGAAATTCGTTGTATTGTTTGTTGGAAGCTACGGTGGCGCAGTGATATGGCACTTGCTCATTCGCCAGGCAGGCCCGGGTTGAATCCAAATGATGGCCGAGCAAAATCATTTGGATTTTCTTTTCAGCCTGAATTCCCCTTGGCAGTTGTGAGGGATTGAACCATATTTCATTTCATTTTATTTATCCAACTAACGGACAACCGTTGAATCTATAGCATTGCTTTGAAAAGAATTTGATTCCTAATTTGCGCATTCAGCGCCATTTAACATCACTGTTTTACGTTTGACATAAAATTAGTGATGTCATTCACGAATGTCTCTTAGAGAGATTGTTGCCTTGAAATTCATTCCAGTATAGACCGAATCAATTATGTATACCTGCAGCGTAAACGCTTCCACACGTTCAAATGTTTCTGTCACAACTTCTCTTTCTGTGCTGACTGTTGTGGTTTCTGTTGTCGGTGGGGGCGCCGTGGTTGTAGTTATGTTAGGGGTAGTTGTTTCAGTTTGGAATGTAAAGAAGTCTGTTTTAGGGGCAACAGTCGTGTCTGAAATATCATATAATGGTTAGTATTTAGTTCAAACACAGATCAGTCGGTTGCCAGTAGACACAATAACATAACGCAGTCTGACTGAAACACAGATCGTATTTCGTTTCGTTTTTTTTATAGTTCAAAATTTCGTTGTACTTGTCTTTACTACACTAGGAGTGTGTGTGTGAAATAGCTTTATTTAACGTCCGCTTCCATCGTGGTGATATCGCAAACAATCTACACTAGGATCTGGAAGAGTTGTTATATAACCAGCCAATGAAACGGTCTCTTGCAGTGACTAACTCATGGTTCAATTTTATTTCAATAATTCTCTTGCGCATAGGGGTCTTTAGCAGCGGGAGAAAACAGGAGGACTCAGGGAAAATCCACGAGGTTGGACAGGTGACCCTACTCCTTGTCACGTACAAATGAGGAATCAGGCTTATGACCTTATGATACAGGGAGCACGTGCTAATCATTCGGCCATCCACCCCCCACCCCCGTTAATCAAATGTCTGACGTCATAGAGTCAAGAGCCGCTCGTATGAACCTTCACGCGACCTCCCACTACAACTGGTGAGATCTTCAAGTAATAGAAGTCATCGAAAGTATAAAAAACGAAACAAACTATAGATCTGTATTTTGATCAGATTGTAACATAACACCAATTAAAACAAATATATATTCTGTATATTTAAAGATGCATCATGTAAGATTTAGAGTTGGCCGTACTTGCTTTTCTAGTTCAAAAATAGATAATTCAAAATTAATATATTAAACATTACATTCAAATCGCTTTATTCTGAAGCGAATTTATCGCTGTTTAAAGTTTTGAGAATATGTTGCATAGGTTGTTTAATATCGTAACAAATGTACTTATTATTTGAGACTTAGCCTCGATTCGACATTTTTAAATTAAATCATTAAATGACGATCGTGTTGATTATAGGATTGTCATGTGAATAAATGTCTAAATAATAGTTATAGAACATTTGAAGCCAAAAAAAAGACCTGCAATATTTAGATTTAGCTCTTACATATTGCACCTTTAACCACAATACATTTAACTGTAGTTTCTTAATGCTGTTGATAAAGATAATACGCACTTTATATGTTCTAGGATAATGTGGACTTAAACATAAAGCCTGTAAATAAACAAGGATAATACGGACTTTAACATGAAGCCTGTGTATGAACTAGGATAATGCGGACTTTAACATGTAACATCACGCCTGTAAATGAACAAAGATAATGTAGACTTTAGCACGAAACCATATAATACGGACATCAACATGAAGCCTATGAATGAACAGGGCTGGTACGGTTGTATGGAGACTTACAGTGTACACTACAGTCTAAACCACCAAAGTCTGTTTCACATATACATCCAGTTAAAGTACACTTTCCTTGATTACAGCCATATGGACAGGTCATCGACTTCAAGATGGCGTCTGGAAAACTAGGTGTATTTCCACCAACAGAAATATACTTATCACTTGTTTTAAGAATCTCATTTTCGCACATATCCTCAACGATCTTCAAATTATATTTGACACGCGAGGAATCGAGTTTTAGCTGAACATCTCTAAGACATAAATTTAGAGATGTGTCAATGGATCTCGGCACAAGATCCGAACACACAACACTTATAGGGGAATTGATCACAACTTCCGAACACAAACGGTGTGCTTCCTCTTCCGGAATCAGCTTTCCCCGCTGCCATATTGGATTCAAAAGATTTTCATTGTCGTTTTCAACTTCTCTTTCGATTTCAAATCTCAAATTCTCTTGTAGAAATTTCCGACGTCCAATAAGTTCGTTGTCTTCATCGTCGTCGTCATCCAACTCCGTGTCGTATTCTCCTGGATAGAACGCACTACCCTCATAGAGTCCCGAACCATCGTTTTGAATGTCACTCGCGTAATTATTCGAAGTATCCTCGGTGTTAAACACTGACACAATGGCATTGTCTAAAGGGAGATTTCTCGAGCATTGATATCCATCATTTGCAGGAGAACAATCACATTCTGCTGAGAACGGTTCCACCCATTTTAAATCGTCATGAACCTCGAATAAGGTTTTATATCTTTTCAATCTAGAAAATAAAACAAAAGAGTAAATTTAATGAAACTGGTGAATCCAGCAAGATTAGTGTGTGTGTGCGGTCAGTCTATTTAAAACTAGACCATATACCCTTATTTCTCTCCAAGGTGTTGCATGACTATTTGGTCATGAGCTTGATCCCGGATACCCCGCCCATACTTCTAACGAATTGGTTAATGCCCTGTGGATGTTCAATCAGAGATGTTTTCATTTGATATAAAACATGAAATTCGTTGTAGTTTTTATGTTCCCACAGAGAATATTTATTCTGTATTTCTGTCACTGATTTACGTCCACCACTACCCATTTATAGCAGAAATTTTTTACACTTAACCGAATATGGAAAGTAAATATATAAACTGATATTAATCTCTACTACGCGCTAGCTAATTATTGACATAAAATTGAACCACATGTTAGTACTGAAATGAGCTAGTTTGTGTCATGTGGATGTGACACACACTCTCTCTCTCTCTCTCCCTCTCTCTCTCTCTCTCTTCATGATTTCTATTAGTAATAGTTCGCCTATCTCAAACGTCCCTATTAAACTAGTCTGAATATAATGTATGTATGAATTCTGTTAGTAATAAATTCATTTCGCTTTAATTAGTCACTTCAAACGTTCCTACTACTGTATATTGATTTATTTACAGGATAATTTATATTACACACACACTTAGTTTACTTGGTTTCTGTTATTAATAATTCCTTTACTTTTAATTTCTCACTTCAAAAGTCTGAACATAAATTATAAAAACCTGTGAGGGGCCTGTTTAGAATATTTCCATTTAATAATCTTTGCCAGGTAGTGTTTGTAAATAAACAGTGTTATGTAATAAAATCACTAAACCCAACTGTGTCTATATATGATAATGTTCTATATAGAAATATGTAATGTTCTGTATAGAAATATGTAATGTTCTGCATAGGAACATGTAGTGGTCTGTATATGAATATGTAATGTTCTGTATAGAAATATGTAATGGTCTATATAGGAGAGAGAGAGGGGGAGAGATGGGGTTTAACGTCCACTCGACACAAACCAGGTCATTTCGGGACTAACATATGGTTCAATTTTATTTCCATAATTCGCTTGCGCGTAGTGGTCTTTAGCAGTGGGAGGAACCGGAGGACCCGGAGAAAACCCACGAGGTTGTACAGGCGACCCTACTCCTTGTCACGTACAACCAGGGAATTGAAACCACGCCACCTTACTCAATGACAGACTTTATGATACAGCGCGCACGTGCTAACCATTCAGCTATCCACCCCCCCGTCTATATAGGAATATTTAATGTTCTGTATAGGAATTTGTAATGTTCTGTATAGAAATATGTAATGGTCTGTATAGGAATATGTGTTGTTCTGTATAGAAATATGTAATGGTTAATATAGGAATAGGTAATGGTCTGTATAGGAACATGTAATGGTCTGTATAAGAATACACGTATGTATTTTTCTGTATAGGAATATATAATGGTCTGTATAGGAATATTTAATGGTATATATATAGGAATATGTTCTGTATACGAATATGTAATGGTCTCCATAGGAATATGTAATGTTCTATACATAAATATGTAATGATAAAATAAACCAACTAACCTCCACTGTTCTATATAGGAATATGTGGAATTGCCATCATTTAATATTGAACTTCTAATTAAGTTGTCACTAATGTTGGCATCAACAGTCCCACAGAATCCTGGGGTACTTGTTGCAGCTCTTCCTGGAATCATCAGGGCTATTGCCATACCCCATGTATCTATTGTAATTTTGAATCGGGATCCACTTGAGAATAGTATCTGAGGAAAATGTATTTTAAAATTTGTTAATTTTGAACACCGCCATTTAAAATCTGCAGATATACATACAGTGATGACTTTTAAACAAAGTATTAATTAGGGTAAATTAGCGTCTACTTCCTACATGGTACCCCTATAAACATTAAAGCTAAATGGGACTAACACATACACATGAATAAAAAACGGATATTCTTCAGCAGAATGCTAACCAAACCATGGCTGTGCCCCACGAATAATTACAAAAAGAAAATTTGATATACCCATAAAGTTAAGAATTTTCATACATTTTCATATAATTGGACTGAGTGTCTTATTGAAGAAATAATGTACAAAAACAAAACAAAAATGTTAGCCATGCGAATTCTTCGAATGCAAAGTTGTGCGATCCATACCTGAACGAAAAGGTGATTTTATTTATCAAGTGCTAAAGTATGTATTAGCATTTTTACAATATTTTAGACATGTCATCATAATTTATTTTTTCTAAACTTACATATTTATATCTGCCATTAAGAGCTTCCTTAATCTTAAAGTTATCTGGAGAACTTGACTGTGTCTTCATTTCTACCTTTCCTGTTTGACACATATCAACTATAATACGGTCGTTTTTATATCGTAAAGCTACACCACAAACACAATATCCACCTTCTCCACTACAGTTCCACATCCTCGCATGAACCTAAAAACAATCATGAATTATATTCAATATATTCATATTAATATTGGTCTGTAACCCAATAAAATCACTTTCATGTTAATAGTGATTTGCAATCTTCATCAAATTATATTCATGTTAATAGTAGTCTATAACACATACAAATCATATTCATATGAATAGTGGTCTATAACCCACCAAATTACATTCATATTAATAGTGTTCTGAAACCTTATCAAATTATATTCATATTAATAGTGTTCTGAAACCTTATCAAATTATATTCATATTAATAGTGTTCTGAAACCTTATCAAATTATATTCATATTAATAGTGGTATGAAACCTTATCAAATTATATTCATATTAATAGTGGTATGAAACCTTATCAAATTATATTCATATTAATAGTGGTCTGAAACCTTATCAAATTATATTCATATTAATAGTGGTCTGAAACCTTATCAAATTATATTCATATTAATAGTGGTATGAAACCTTATCAAATTATATTCATATTAATAGTGGTCTGAAACCTTATCAAATTATATTCATATTATATCAAATTATATTCATATTAATAGTGGTCTGAAACCTTATCAAATTATATTCATATTAATAGTGGTCTGAAACCTTATCAAATTATATTCATATTAATAGTGGTATGAAACCTTATCAAATTATATTCATATTAATAGTGGTCTGAAACCTTATCAAATTATATTCATATTAATAGTGGTATGAAACCTTATCAAATTATATTCATATTAATAGTGGTCTGAAACCTTATCAAATTATATTCATATTAATAGTGGTCTGAAACCTTATCAAATTATATTCATATTAATAGTGGTTTGAAACCTTATCAAACACTAAGAACAACATAATGTAATGAAGACAAGTAAAACGAAATTCCGTGTTTTAATCAGATTGAAGTGTTGGTTAAAATCTTTTATTCCGATGAAAACTAATCAGGGGGATTATCTACCGTTGATATCTCGCTTTTATTAAATGTTAAAAAAATTAGATATTGTCCAAAATATTACGATTGCAATCGGTAACTTTAATCAAGTTGATTCAATTCTAAAATTCTTACCATAAAATTTTCATATTTGGTAGAGAACATTAAATATGTACCAAATGATGTAACATCTAATAATCTGAAATAAAACATCTGTAATATTGTTAAAATCAGTAAGTGGGGCACAAATGGTCCTATTCTAAAATGAGATGCTCAGATAAATTAAAAAAACGTATAAAACATTTTAAAACATTATTGCGTGGTCCTTGTTTCTGTGGGGGAAGTGGTTGGGTTGGGTTGCTGAATGGTATTGCGTGTGGGCTTTAGATCATAGGGGTGTCTTTGAGTCAAGTGGCGTGGATTCGATCCGACACTTTCAGGTGACAAGGTCACCAGTTCAACGTCTTTTGGCTTTCTCCGGGTGCCCCGGTTTTCTCTCCCTATTATTGAAATGATAAAAGCGAGCCGTGTTTAAGTCCCCTAAGATCTAGATTGTGTCGAGTGGATATTAACCCCGCCCTCTCTCTCTCTAAGTCTAAACGATAGATGTGTGCTTTTCGCGTAATTGCAAAATTCCAGATTTGAAAATGTCCTTAAATACCTTCCATCAAAGGTCTGTACATGAGGATCAGCAAATATATAACATTCTTTAAACGGCTTGTCTTCAACTCGGATCTATAAACAAAAATAGTAGATATGGGCAAAGTTCATCCGCGCATTTGTAATGATATATTAAAACCAATCTCGGATGGTTAAGTAGCAATTATTAAGGTAGACTCTGTTACCCCTGGCAAACAATAACGTGCCACTCCAACGCAGCTGTGGGTGGGGAGCGAGGGGGTAGTGGAGGGGTGGGGGGTAGAGGGAATCAATAGATGGAAATACCATTGTGGCAAACAAAATATAGGGATTTAATGGTGGTCTGTATCCAGTTATTTCCACTGAAACCATAAGATATGATAACAAAGAATAGGAAGTTTACTTAAAATTCGACTATAAGTCGGCTTTCTTTTCTTTTCAACACAAATATATAAGCTGAGTTCAACAGACCTAGTCTGGCAATCAAGAAATGCCTTAAAGCGGAAATTGCAAATTTTCAAGTTATATTTTTAAAATTTATTAAAATAAAGCCTGAAAATAGATGGTATCCATAAACAGTCCTACCTTGTTAAAGAATAATCCTATTAATCCTATAATTCACTATTGCCAGCTGAGAAATTGACAAAAAATATCATTTTCCTCTTCATTTTCAAACGTTTGAAATGGCTACTCAATGGTGGAGAATAGAAAACAAGGGAGGTAATTGGGAGGTAATTGTGTTATTATTTCCTGTGTAAATGAGTTTTAAGTGTGAGAATGGCACCTATGATCGTATAATTGTGAGTTGACAACCTATTGAGCAAAAGACATAGAAATAATTACGTTTTGACTTTCTTAGAAAATATGAAATTGTAACTTTAATTGAGATTTAAACCAATCTCACTTCAAACAGAACAGATCTAAATGAATTCAAAGTAAACGTAATACGATTACTTACCATTAATTCTGTGGAGACTTGCTGCCAATGTTCCTGAGATTCATAAATAACTGCTGTCAAAATAGCACCAGCATTAGCTGATTTAAATGTTAAATCTGGCAGCAAATCTAATATTAATTCCATTTTACTACAAACGTTATTCTCACAGTCTCTATTATACATTCTAAATCTACAAGAGTTTAATCTGATTCTGGTAGTAGGGTGACCATCTGAAAACAACGATTATAAATTATAACTCTTTCCTCAATGAAAGTTAAAGAAATACTGGCAACATATTTTGTTAAATTTTACATAGGGATTTAAATAGTGGTCTGGTACTTTATCTCCAATACTGATCCCCATCAAATTGCACCACACCACACATAGACAATTACTCAAGACAAACCCACGGACAAGACACAAAATACATAGACATTTCAAACAACAAAGCACCCAATGGATCCGGGGTCTAGCCCTAAGCGTCCACTGCGCTGTACAGTAGTATCTGGGGAAGTGCATGAAGGAGGGCTTGATAACTTATTTCTCTATTTGGAAGGTCCGTTTACTATTGCTCCATTTTGTCAATAGTATTTTGCTTTTAACTAACGGATATGTCCGGCTTACTTCTGATATATAAAAAAATAGCACGTGTCATAACCACGGAATGTAAAATTTAAAGGGCGTATGACTCTATTCCTTGGAACCTTAAATTAGACGAATGTGGGTAAAAGCACATATTATCAATGTAGTACGAATGAATATAAAGTTATTGATATCCAATTTTATTTTATTTTTTTGTTTTTATTATAATTACTAAACAATTATGTTTTGTGAAATACGTGAACAGTCCAAATTGATCGAGAGTCGTTTACGTCTACTTAGTCTAATCTACAGGGTTTTTTTAATCGTTGTTGAATCAGCCATTACTTGGTCTTGTGGGATATGTTTTCTTTGTTCATTCCAAACGTCGCCCGACACCATTGAATACACGACTCGTGTATTGGATAACAAATGTTTCATTGTGTCTTAAATATTGGGATTCCATATTATCACGATAAGATAACAACACAAATATTGATGGAAATGGACCTGTATTGAATTAAACTTCATGTTTATAAATCGACTATTGTGGAAAATGTTGAGTTAGAGGTTTAGATCCTTTCAATATTTTAGGATACAGTCTTTTCATTGGCTAAAAGCTAAATTTGTATTGAGAATTTAAATTTAAGTCAGAGAAAGGGATACCGACTTAAAATAAATCAATTGAGGTTTGCAACTTTTATTTTTGCTTTGAATTGGGAAGTGCGTATCTGTCTACATTTAAAGTTTTGAGTCCACGGACACAGTTAATAATGTTTTGTATTTATTGTCAGTTGAAGCTAACAATCAAACTGAAATTATAAAGCCAATTGACGGCTACTTCACATTTCAAAACGAAAATTGAAGCATATAGAATTTGACCCATATCTAATCGATATAACACATAATATCTACCCAACCCAATTCAAAGACGCGTCTTCATTAGCCCAGTCTGAGCAGAACCGTAGGACGTTAAGCCTCATTTCATTTCATTTCCAATTCAATTATAAGGGGTTTAGCTCCATTAATGTGTTTTAAATTGATATGCATTGCACTAGTGTCCTACTCTCTGGCTTTTGCTGAGCTAGGAAACCTGGAGTTTGTCATTGTAGATGGGAAGTTTAACCAGACCTGTCAGCGATATCACCCTATGTGGAAGCGGAAGTTAAGCTCGACATCAAGTCATGTTTAACAAGTGCTTTCTTTAGGGTCTTATTAACGTAATTCCTTTCCGTCACTTGTATATTGTCAATAATGTTTTTATTCATATATAATGTTCATACTTATTAACTAAAATTGAATTTGAATAGTGTATATTACATACTGTTGCATTATAAACACTTACCCAAACTCAATAAAGCAAGCATTATCTCTATACTGCAGTTAGTGTTTATGAGCCCACAAGATATTGGTATCGTAGAATACAGAGTTACTCTATCCGTAGGAAAATTTTCTTGGAGCAGTACACTTTCTGCTGAAAACTGGAATTAAAAAGTTAATCTTCTTGTCATATAGAATTCGATATTCAACGACTTTTTTTAGAAAATTATTATAATCCCCAAAAATGTATTTTTTATGTTCGAAATAATCAAATATCAGATTGACGATGCACTAGGTCTATAAAATGACCAAGAGCAATAATTAAGATGAGTTTTTAAATGAAATGCTGAAATCCAAGAGTCTCATTAGTTGCAATTATGTAACTAATGCACACATATTATCAATGCACTCTCTAGCGTATTGGATAATTAGAAGTGGCGCATTGCATCCCTGTTGTAAGATTACTCATTTTTTAGCGATTTTATTATTTTGTTTACATGCTTTCTAGCGAATGTTATCTTCGTCTTCGTATTAATCTGTTTTCAGGTATGCTTAATAAATCAAACTAGGAAATATGCACCTTTGTTCTGCAATTGCGTTCCGTAACTGTTTAATGCGCGTTGAATACCAGTTGTACGGTGTATTTGGATTTGTAAACGTTTGAAAGGCGGGCAAAATCAAAGGTAATGTAAATGGTTTAGTGTACCTTTAAACCCAGATTAAAAGGAGAACTTATCCTTTCTGTCTGATCGGAATCTTTGGTATTTAACACCATTACACCACACTGGATCTATAAATAGATTTACATTATGTAGATTAAACATAACACCTTCGCCAACTGATGTTCATTGAAATAATATTATGTGGGTAGGGTCATGTCTTAAAAGAACAACTATTCTTTCGGATGGGATGAAAAACTTAGGTTCATCCGCGGACTCGCTGGCATTCCCGTAAAAGAATACTAGAAAGATGGAAGTCGATGAAGTGTACGCGGACAGGCTGACCCCGGGCAAAGTTTTCTTCTCATTACATACACTATGGCGTACTAAGCCCCGTCTTAATTAACCCGGGTTCATCGGGATTTTCCGGCGTGGCTTCCCCGTGTCAGTGGTGCAAGACAAGGTCAGCTGTCTAGTCGTTCGGATGAGACGAAAAACCGAGGTCCCAGGTACACATTTCTCTCATAGCACACTGTATGGCGCATGCCCGTCTTCATTAGCTCAGTCGAAGCAGAACAGTAGGACGTTAAACCCCATTTCATTTCATTATCCCGGTGCGTGACCTGTACATCATTAGTGTTGTCATTGAATCAAGTCGTGTGTTTGGAGCTGCTGCCCAGCCTCGTCACCCTCGTGGGTATTCTCCGGTTTCCTCCCACTGCTATGTTACGTAAACTAAGAAGTTGGTATACTTTTCATTTCATCTCATTTTTAATGTTGTCTGTAAATAAAATAATGATTTTGAAATTTTTAAAATTCTGTGTGCCTTTATTTCTGTTCTTCAAGAAAACTATATACCACTACTAACCAGATCTCCAGGAAAAACATCTTCGTACAATTTTAACAATGATAATCGACCCATCATATTTCTTCTAATAATAAAGATGGTATCCGTATCTTCTCTTCTTTTATACCAAGCCACTCTGAACTCTGCCCCCACTACTGATTGGTTACCCAGTTCAATCGTACAGTTGAGGTAATTGACGCCATTAACCATAACGTTTTGTATGGATGGTTTTGTAAGATTCACTTGTTTTACTAAAAAAAAAATAGAAACACCCAATTTCTAAAAGATTATATGCATGCTTTAGTACTATAGAATCTCTTGCAAGCTACAATATTGTGAAAGTTGAAACTCCAATAGGAATATTGGTCCAAAAATAGCTCAATTCCGTTCAGTATTTACAAGGATATGTTGAATTGAAACTTTTATCGCTCTATGCTGCTCACTATGTAACAAGGCGACTGCCATCTTTATTTGATGTTAACCAATGTTGTTTATTACATGTTATTCTGGTCCGTGAACCAAATTGGTAGGCCTGTTTTAAATCCGATTGAAACCAAGCCGGGAGATTATCTAGCGTCGGTATTGTGTATCTGTTTCTTAATCAAATGTTTAATAATCAATCTGAATACGCATTAGCGTGGAATAAATCATGAGGAATTTGATATTTCTTTTTAAAAAATGCACATTTTTGGTTATTTTAAAAGGTACAACCTCTTAGGTTTGGTTCAGATATTATAATTTTCGATTTTATTGGATTTAATGTGTTGATTGTCTTTATTCCTTGAAACGTGTTACATCTGTAGATAAAGCTTGTGTACGGATATAACGAATTTTGACACAGGCGGACAATATTTAAAGCTACATTATAGAAGATTAGATAAAGAGCTGGCAGTTCTCACTATAATAGTTAAAACCACCTAGATAATGTAAAGGGATTATGCTGAAAATTTCAGTCAAATTGCTTTACTCTAAGCCAAGAAAATCTTATTTTAAAATCGTTGTTGTCTCGATTATCCACTTTTGCGTTCAATCATCTATGACGTTGAACATCAGATCGGATTCAAATCCAATGAAAATCAGACATATAAGATGGCATCTAGAGTTGATTATAGTCTGGAAAAGGTAATTATTGTATAATTAATCATTTTGATAATATTTAAAGATCTGCAATAGGCAGATTTACCTTTGCATAATGTATGTTTAAACTAAAATGAGTAAACAAGTCGACTTCCGCTTAATCTTTGTAAATAAAAATGCGGTAAGGCAGAGCTTATCCCATCATTAGTCAAAATAACGGGTTCTTAATGGACTTGAAATATTTGCCTTAATTAGTAATGTATCATCACAACTTTAATATCAAGACGACAATAACCACAGCCGAGGTGACCAATTATAACATTTATAGAACATTGGTGTGTCGTCCAATTAACAGTGGACGTCGTTATGCAACATTGATGTCGTTATGCAACATTGATGTCGTTATGCAACATTGATGTCGTTTTAACAAGGCTTCTAACCAATCTTATATGGCGATACTGAACACTAGTTTAATGGCATTGACGTATATGAAAGTGTGTTTTTCGTATGAGATGTCATAATGGTGCTACTGTCTGTAGTCGTGCTGTTTAAACCATAAAGAAGGCAAGAGCGGTGGGGACTCTATTTAACTTAACCCCTTAAATAGGCATTATTCAAGAGTTAAATCTGCCTTTTGCTTGTCTTTCTTTAAATGTTATATAAACCATTAATTAGAAATTTATTAACATGACAAGACCCCGGTTTTAAGTAGATTAGAACCGTTCGGCCGTTTAGTGATTTAATTTAAAAATGGAGAATCGAAAAACCAGCACCATGGTTACGATGATAAACAATCAATGCACACATTTTATCAAAACTACAAACATTGATAACTTCGTTCGGAATAAAGTAATTTAAATGAAATTTTTAATATATTCATTTTGCATTATCTATTTTTGAACTAGTAAGCAACGGCCAACTCTTTATCTAAATCTTATATAATGTATCTTTGATAGTGAACATATAGCCGGACATATATGTAACATGATATAACATACCAATACATGCTTTAAGATTTTCATTAAAATCTTGACCCTGTGGACACGTGAATAAACTTGTACTTTCTGTCACTGTAAAACAATTTCAATTTTAAAAATTAAAAAAGTAAACTGCATCTGAATAATGATCCCACAATCAAATAACCACTCTCCATATTTATTTAACTTTTTTGTATATGAAACACAGAGAGAGAGAGAGAGAGAGAGAGAGAGAGAGAGAGAGACGTCCACTCGCCGCAAACTATGTCATTTTGGGACAAACATAATGGGTCAATTTTATTTCAATAATTCGCTTGCGCGTATAGGTCTTTAGTAGTGGGAGGAAACCCACGAGGTTAGACAAGTGAAGAATCGAACCCACGTCACTTGACTCAATGAAAGACCTTATGATTCAACATACTTGCGTTAACGATTCGGCCACCCAACCCCTCCGTGTATGAAACAGATTCAATAACATATTTGTATACTATTCCCGTTCGTTGAACTGGTTTTATCCAAACTGTTACACGGCCGTAATGCGAAAGTGAATATTTACTGCGGATCAGTTTGGTTTTAATGATGTCTAGTAACTTAATATATAATACACTTTCACGCACTGTAACTGAACTCATGTCAAAGTGATTATGAATTCTTGAATTATCAGATAACCCATAGCATAGGGTACAATATTTCATACCACGCACATTACGTTTAGCGTGTAGCTTATATTCGGAGAATGTACATGTACCAAACAACGAGGCACTTTTTAATGCACTGTGCTATATTGCAAAGGGCAGTCTGGATTTAAACCAGACCAACAATGTTAGGGGTAGATTGGGTGTAAGCTAGTAAAATTGAAGGGTTTCGTTAGTGCTAACGTTTGGGATTGCAATATTTCGGTGCTGTTGTTCTTGCATAGGAACATGTATACGATTTTGATGCTAATCGACGTCGTTAGTTTCGTGTGAGGGGCTTTTAGGATCGCGTTTGACTATGGTGTCATTATGAAAGAGAGAGAAATTGGGTTTAACGTCCACTCGACACAAACTGGGTCATTTCGGGACTAGCACATGGTTCAATTTTATTTCAAGAATTCGCTTGCGCGTAGGGGTCTTTATCAGTGAGAGGAAAGCCAAACAGCATAAAGTCACTTTTGACCTTTGTTGAAATAAGTGTAGTAATATGATTTTACCGATTGTGTCAAAATAATTTTGAAAATCATTTATGAGAATAAAAATGTAAAACGTCCATACCTGGTGTAGTGCAGTCTCCTGAAACGGGGTCAAGAATCAAACCCTCTTCACAACTTCTCTCTTGAACTTAGGAAATGAAAACAAACGCATATTGTATAATATTATTTTAATATATACGGAAACGTATTAGACAGAAATGAAAGTTTAAATGAAATGAAATGGGGTTTAACGTCCTACTGTTCTGCTCCGAACTGGACTAATGAATACGGGCATGCGCCATACAGTGAGCTATGGGGGAAATTTTGCCCGGAAAGCGGCACTACGGCCTACGCCAATGTGTACACTGGACCTCGGTTTTTTGTCCCATCCCAGACTAGACAGATTTCCTTGTCAGGCCCTCCGTCCTGCATCACTGACTAGGGGGAACCACGCCGGAAAATCTGGATGAACTTTCTCGACCATGCAGGGATCGAACACCCGACCTCCAGGAGAACGAGCCAGCGTCTTACCCACTTAGCCACAATGACCCCCATGAAAGTTAAAAGGACGAAATTATTCATAACCAGAGCGTTTACGAATAAAGGTTACATTGTAAATACCTTTGACGTATTGGTGAAATAACCATAGCTCGGTGTGGCTACCAAACACTCCTTGTGCTTTTTCATTAAATGAGGAGCCTCCGTGGCTCAGTGGGTAAGGCTCTGGCTCATTACGCAGGGGGTCCGGGTTTCGATCCAAGTTACCCCCCTTGTCTTTGTTTCGTTGTGTGGCAACGGCAGTGTCTAGTCGTTTAGATTGGACGAAAACCGAGGTTTCGTGTACTCGCTGACATGCACATGCCCAGTTGGTGCAGAAAGGTAGGACGTTAAACCCCAATGCATTTCATTTGTTTATTATACAGAGTGTCCCGATAAAAAATTGTCCTAGCACTGACCCTAAATACGAATAACCCTTTCCAAATTACAAAGTATAATTACTATGAGACAAATGTAAATTGTAGCGTAAAACGTGATCGTCGAAGCACCAAAGCAATTAACAAAATATATTTATTTGGTCTAAGAACCTAATTATTCATGTCCGCTATTCCTGCTTCTGTATTATATTTACAGCTGGTGTTTTAAACAAAAAACTTATCTTCAAATACATTTTTTTAAAAATTTAACATTAAAACATTATAGCGGAAATTACATTTATGGCTGTTGAGAGATAATTGTCTGTGGCTGACTTCCTCTCAGATAAAATTGTGTAATTATTCATGATGATAGTCCTTAAGGGGCGTTTATACTGAGACCGACCGCGAGCCCAAACGTCACCACAGTGGCTTGCGGCGTGAATCATCATTCGTACTTTAACAGCAAAACGCGCATAAATTCTCAGATGGAACTGATGCATTTGCGAGTTGATCATGTATGCCTTTTGATCGTTCACTCTGATTGGTTAATGAAAATCGCTCGCGCGAAATCCGCCCGAGGAGGCATCTCCTAGGTATTCCGCGCGAACAAAAATTCGGCCGCGTTCGCCGTTAGTATTAAATATTAGTTAATCAATCAAATGTTATCACCGTAGTTGCCTTTCTGGTCGCGCTGAAGCTAGGTATACACGACCCTTTAGTATAAACGACTTCATTCAAATAGCAGTTAATAATAAGTCAAATACGATCGTCGCGTTCGCGCTCAATGATTCGCCGCGTTGGACGGACTATAAACACGAATTAGCCTAAAGATAAGGCTTTGGGTATTAAATGCGTATAGCTTATTTGTCCTTTAATAGTAAGTCGAGAACTTATTTTAAGCGAACCCTAAAGTATTAAAGAAAATAAATGACATTACATCGTACTATTCCTTCCAAGAAGTAGGCCTACTCAGTTATTATTCTGTCCACATCATTTAATTGACAATTGCCGGCATCTATCAAGGACGCTCCGAGGTCATCAAGAGTGTTAGCAAAAAATAAAAACGAAGCGATTTTTTTTATTTTAATTAAATTGCCTTACTTGTTGTACAGTAACCCAAATTACATCCTCTGGCACCTGAAATTCTGTAGATGTAGAAATTTCCACAGTTTTTGACCACGGCTAATGTTTTAGCCATGCAACAGTTGACTTCTTTGCGAGGTAGTTGCCAGGCAGCGCATGCCTGGCCCCTCTTTTCATGACCCGGTAAAGGCATGCCACTCTTTAATTCCAACCATATCGGTGCCTGGGTTCCACATCGAAACACCTGCAATTATTCAAAGGAAACTGTATATAGATAAGGCTATAAACGTTTAAACGTATTACGTGATCCACCTAAAATACAGGTGTCCAGAAGTAGAGTAACGCCAATATTAAATCCCAAACTTCATATTTAAACCATGCCGGAGCCTAATGGTTATGATTATGTAATCTAACTAATTAAATGTAAAACACGCCTATTTCAAGAAAGAATGGGATGGGTGGGGTAATTGGTGCAGTCAGGTTACAGTACATGGGGATCCCTCAAGGTTACTAGATAGAGACATTCGTCGCGTGAATAACGACTACAACCTGATTGTCATTTAAACCGTTTTAATTAAAGAAAGGTTATATTGCTCCTGGTTTAAATGTATTATTGTGTGTGATTTTTTTTAACTTAAACATAAATTATGCGAGAGCTAAATCTGCCTATTGCAGGTCTTTCTTTATGCCTGAAATGTTATCTAAATTTTTAATTAGACATTAATTAACTTATCAAGACCATAATCAAAACTCGATGTCATCGCTAGCCTGCGATGTTTATTGGATTCGGTTCTGATTTTCTGTTCGACTTCTATTCATGATTTAATCATGAAATGGAAAATCGAGACTGTTCTTTTTTCGTACCGACTATAGTAATGATGGTCGAGGCTAGGCCGAAAATTCAATCATTAAAATCTCGATTCAGAGTGGATCAATTTCACTGAAATTGTCAGCAAATTCCCTTTACATTATCTGGTTTTTAACTGTTATAATGAGAACTGTCAGCTCTTTATCTAATCACCCATAATGTATCTTTAAAATAAGTGATTGTAATATTATATTTTTGATGCTTTGGCATTTAGATTTTTAACTTTTGGTTCTATCTATTTTTAAGATATTAATAAAACTAAACATTGAAAGATCTCCAAATTATCCCGTCACCATTATGGGATCGAGGTGGTGCCAACGGTATGCCTGAACATTATAGAGGTGCGCAACATTTTTCACACAGTTTTTAAAATTGACAACAGGAACTATTACCACATGTAAGTTAATTATGTTTTGCACTCGGTGTCTAAAAATAGTTCTGGAGAGAGAGAGAGAGAGAGAGAGACGGGGTTTAACGTCCACTCGAAACAAACTAAGTAATTTCGGGACTAACATATGGTTCAATTTTATTTCAAAAATTCGCTTGCGAATTTGCGGGGCGACCCGGAGAAAACCCACGAGGTAAGACAGGCGACCCTACTCCTTAGCACGTACAACAGGGGAATCGAAACCACACCAGTTGACCCAATGCCATACCTTATGATACAGCGCGCAGCCGCGCACGCGCTAACCATTCAGCCATCGACCCCCCCTACAAATAGTTCTGATCTCTATAGAGAATTATATAGCGACGTAGGAGTATCAATCATAGTTGAAACGGAAGGAATCATATTGCAAAGATATGTTTTAATTTGTTGTTTCCATAAATAAGTAGGATTTTTATTACAATTTTATATTAACTACTATTCAATTTGTCGAGATGAATAAGAGTTTTCGTTTGCTCACACACTGTGTGGGTGTATGTTATGGGCAACAGCTCCTTTCCGTCTATCCGTGGGCGCCACGGTAGCTCAGTGAGTGAGACGTTGGCTCGCTAACCCGGAGGTCCCATGTTCGATCACGGTGTTGACCGAGAAAGTTCATTGGGATTTTCTGGCGTGGCCTCTCGTTGTCAGTGTTACAGGACGGAGGGCATGGCAAAGGACCATGTATAGTCGCTCCGATGGGACGAAAAACCGAGGTCTCTTATACGTAAAACAACCCTTGACAGTTGGAATTCGATACAAGAGTAGGCCGCAGTGCCGCTGTTCCAGCAAAATTTCCCTCATGACACACTCTATGGCGTACGCCGGTCTTCATTAGCCCAGTCGTAGCAGAACAGTAGGACGTTAATCACCATTTCATTTCATTTCATTTCTGCCTATCTGTTCGTAATTCGTGTCGTCGGTGTATTTTGCACACAGAGAACTATCTATTTGAAATGAAATGAAATGAAATGGGGTTTAACGTCCTACTGTTCTGCTCCTATGCTGGGCTAATGAAGAAGAGGCATACGCACTACAGTGCGCTATGAGGGAAATTTTGCCCGGGCAGCGGCACTATCGCCTACTCTTATATCGAATTCCAACTGCCAAGGGATCTTTTACCTGCATTCCAATGTATACACTGGACCTCGGTTTTTCGTCTCATCCGAAGGACTAGACAGGTGTCCTTGTAAGGCCCTCCGTCCTGCATCACTGACAAGGGGGAACCACGCCGGAAAATCTGGATGAACTTTCTCGGCCAATGCAGGGATCGAACACCCGACCTCCAGGCTAGCGAGCCAGCGTCTTACCCACTTAGCCACGTGATCCCCACCTATCTATTTGAGAATAGATCTCTGCCTTGGATGACCACAATTTTGAATAATTAGTCTACTATTCTGTTATGCGGTTCTGCGGGTTTGGATGGACGAATGGTTAGCATGTGTGTGCTGTATCATAAGGTCTGTCATAGAGTCAACTAGCTTGTGTTCGATTCCCCATGTTGTACGTAAGGTGTAGGGACGCCTGTCCAACCTCGTTGGTTTAGTCCGTGCCCTCCGGTTTTCTCCCACTGTTAAAAACCCCTACGCACAAGCGAATGACTGAAATAAAATTGAACCATGTGTAAGTCCCGAAATGACCTAGTTTGTTTCGAGTGGACGTTAAACCCCGTCCCTCTCTCTCTCTCTCTCTCTCTCTCTCTCTCTCTCTCTCTCTTATGCGGTTCTATTCCGTTTTAAACGTTTTCATTTGGTAGTTTTTTTAGACTAAATTCATCGATGTTGGAATTTTAAAATCTCGGTCAATTAGCTTCGTGTCTGCTCGCAAGCGGAGATAATTGTAGACGTTTCGTTTGGCCGTCGGTTTTTTACTACCGATTCACAATTTATCAACCGCTTACATGCCACAGTTCTGAATGATATATTGCCTGAAAATTGCTCACCGATTTGTAACACGTCAGAGAAGTTGTATATCATACTATCAATATATCTAGCTTTCAAAATGCTTTTTATTAAAGGCGCTAAATCTCTTACTCAATATTTTCCATAATATTCGAACCAAAAACACGAATTAGAATTCAATATTGACCCATTTTAATAAATATTGATGTTGTTATCTTAGTGTAAAAATGTAGGGTCCTAATATTCAATATTTAAGACACAATTAATGAACACTTTAAAATATCGACATACCAGTTTCGGGCCGCCATTTCTAAAGAACGAAGAAAAACATATCCCAGACTTCAATGCGAAAGTAATTAAAAATGGCTGCGTCACAAACGACAAAATAATAATACAAAACATGTGTAAAATGGACCAAGAAGGCACAAATGACAACCGGTTAGTTTGGACTTTCCGTCTATTTCATCGAACATAACTGATTAGAAATCACAATAAAAGATTTAAAAAATTTAAGAAAAAAAAGCAGTGTTTTATACACTGATATTACATTAATATGTGCTTTTAGACTCAGTTTTGTCTATTTTAAGGTTCCAATTAGAATAGAGCTATACGCCCTTTGATACAACCTATCAGGTATTCAACCTTAAGCAATAAATTTGGCTTCAAAAATATGATTTACAACTGAATTATTTGGATTTCCTCTCTAAATAGAATTTGACGTTTCTTATAGGAAATAGAGTATAATGATGTCTGAAGACTGAAAAGAAAACAATTTCTAAGGCCAAACCGTTTTAATGTTTAGTTCTTCGGGGGTTTGTTCAATAAATAACCCACTTAATTCTTGTGTACGATGTTTTGTTAAAATTTCAAAACTTAAAGTAGCTAAGTCTTAAACTTAATATCATTTAAAGTCTTCGACATTGAAAACACGAATTATTTGTCAATTTAAATCAACATTAATGTTGTGATCTTACCGGGAATAGAGGGGCTTCTGGTATCCAAGATTTAAGACAAAATAAACATTTTACCATTGGTACACGTATCGTGTACCATAATGCGTTTCAGCGCCATTTGTAACAAGGGACTCGAAGAACGAGGCTAGACATATTCCACAAACATGCGCAATAAATACTATAGGTATACTAAGCTTTTGAACAGTACAACCAAATAATTTTGGTTTTTAAATTAGTCTTTTTTTCCGAAGAAATTATAAGCAACATTTTAACAGGTGTTCTCGAAGAACAGAAAATCAATTTGGTGTGGCCTACTCTGACGATTAATGACTTTACGGTGAATTAATTTGAATTCCAGTCTAAATACAGATCTTAAATCAAACATATTGGTCCAATTATATAAGTTACAAGATGGAAAATCTACTTAAAGCAATTTGTTCTCAGTCTGAAAAGGTTTAAATATACATTGATGTTGTTTATAGCTTTATTTACAGGAACGTAGTCAAGTTAAACGACGTCTAATAAATACTGCTATAAATCTATGTTTGATGGAAGAGCTTTGTTAATTGGTGTACTTCCGTTAATTAATTGAGTAACAGCTGGGCTGTATTTAACTAGGCTGAACTACTTTCTTTTTTTTTTTCGTTGTGTCGAAAAGTTGTCTGTAAACATCAATAATCTTCAGGTTAGGAATCGATGTCTGTTTTTGGTTATTTTGTTTTCAAGGAAGATGAATATTAGGTTTTATGATAGAGGATATCAAAGACAAAATAATTCTTTGATGGCATTTAGTAATTGGAAAATAATCAAATAAACACATTATTTATGGATAATAATTACTATGGTTTATTTCACTGCGACGTTTCAACAAGATTTCACAAGTCGTTATCAAGCATATCTCAACACAAATAAATAAACTCGTTCGTTCGTTCCTAAAGTTGTACATCCACTTCCACCATAGGTGATATCGTAGACAAATAAATAAAATGAAAAGAATATGGTTATATGTATATATATCTATACAAAAGCAGTGCGAACCCTCCAATGGGATGCAAAAATCATCAAGCATGAGCAACTGTCCCAGGCCGTTAAATAAACAAATATACATAGATATATATCTCTTAAATAATTATTTGATCTTATTTTATTCCGGTATTTATCTATACCAAGTACAGTTTATACCTATCTATGTATATTTGTTTATTTAACGGCTTGGGACAGTTGCTCATGCTTGATGATTTTTGCATCCCATTGGAGGGTTCGCACTGCTTTTGTATAGATATATATACATATAACCATATTCTTTTCATTTTATTTATTTGTGTTATATGCTTGATAACTAATTGTGTAATCTTGGTGAAACGTCGCAGTGAAGTAAACCATAGTAATTGTTATCCATAAATAGTGTGTTTATTAGACTGAATAATCCGTTGAGCTCAAGCTATTTTAAAGATACATTATGTAAGAGGTAAAGTTGCCTATTAAAGGTCTTGTCTCCGACTGTAAATATATTATATCAATTATTATTTATATATTTATTCACATGAACCGACGCAGACAAAAGTTCAGAGTATCTGAATTTCGATGGATGGACGAGGAAAACAATTTTGAAAGAGTTACGAATATCAGACCCACAGAGGCTCGAAGCACTGCAAAGATTTTGGTGTCCCGATATGTAATTCAGAATATAAACAATAATAAACCACAAACAACTGCCAGGCACGTGATTAGAGTTTTTCTGGGATTTTATACACGCCATTTTTAATAGCAACCAAACAGGTAACCGTGTGAAAAGATAAAAACAATGAAAAACTAATTAAAGGTTTTTAAATAATTTTTGAATTAATTATTTTAAATTTGGCATCTAACCAGAGAAACGAAGGGGGCTGGACGTGTTCTCAGGGATGCTGTAAAATTGACGGACAATGTATATCTATGGTCGATAATTTTTTTACGGGGGGGGGGGGGCGAAACTTTTTGCACGGACCTGCATCCAACAAAACAGACACTCTGTGTTGCCCCCACCATGACACCCTAAGCACGTGCTTATTTTACTTAATGGTTAATTCAATACTGGTGTCACTGTCTAGTTTCTATGGAATATTTCTTTTGAAAATGTTATTTATACAATACCTCAACACACTGCGTTGGTAAAATGGCGTTTGTACCATTTATTAAGAACCTATGCCAACCACCTCGTATATAGACATCACATAGCGCTCTACCATCTTTGGGTGTAATGTACTCAACATGGCGTCTAAAATCATCGATAACTTTATGTCCTCCTTCCTCGCACGGGTCTGAAATATTAAAATTAATAAAATCAAATTAAACTTGTCAAAAAAATATTTGTCTTCCTAAGTTCTTGACATTTGCATTTAGTGGCGTGTGTCATGCTTACGGTGGGGTATGCTTAATATTTCCGGAATACCCGATACCGCTCGGTTCATCTTTAAAAGAGATGATAGTCTATGACAGGTTCATACATAGCTAACCATTTTCGTTTTGCGATTTCGGTAAATATTGACACTCGTTGCATTATAATTGTTTTTTTTATGTAGTTGTAAAGAACGTTACAGCCATTAATGTTCACGTTTTGAATTATTAAAGGGTAGGGGTGGGGTGGATGGCCGAATGGTTAGCGCGTGCGCGTTGTATCATAAGGTCTGTCATTGAATCATCTGGCATGGTTTTGATTCCCCGGTTTTTCGTGACAAGAAGTATGGGTCGCCGATCCAACCTCGTGGGTTTTCTCCGGGTCCTCCGGTTTCCTCCCACTGCTAAAGACCCCTACGCGCAAGCAAATTATTGAAATGAACCCCAATTCTCTCTCACTCTCTCTCTCTCTCTCTCTCTCCCTCTCTCTCTTGTAGACGATTATCAGAATCAGACATGTTTCCAGTAATTATAAATGCTCTAGCTCGTGCTTGTCTGGCCGGATTTGTGCGTAGGTCTGCTAGAGAGCTGTTGTTCAATAACCCAACTTTTCAGTATTACAATAAACGCTTAGTAATCATACATTTTATATCTCTTTCTTATATATTTCAGTCTATTGTATATTCTGTTGCCCCCCCCCCCCACACACACACACACTTCCAACAACCCCCACCCCACGCGACCACCATCCCCACAACAATCAAATCCCCGTTTTACTCACAATAATTTCATTGTTATGGTCGCTTACTGCGATACCAACCCTAAATGAATCTCCAGAAACAACATCACGAACGAATTGGGCAAAAAACAGTGCACTGATAAGTGGGTTCGAAATGGAGAAAACAAATTTCTCCTATATTTTTGATTCTATCAGATTCCACTGTTTACAATGAAAATATGTTTACTCTGTGTGGCGTGAAGTTGTGTAACATTTTTTTTAGTTTATTAAGGTTGTAAAAACCGCACTGCATGTTAGACAATAAAACGCTGTAAGCGTTAGTGTTCTTGTAATCTTTCAGATAACCCATGGCTGTTAGCTATAATATTACACACACTTCGGTGGCAGGATATTTTAAAGCAAATTTCTTTATTAAAACTTGATTCACCTGTTTATTTTTGTACTTTGTTTATTAGTGTTTACTTTTTTCTTAGCCGTATTGTTGTCTATTCGGAACCTTTACAACGAAGGGCGGATCAGAAAAATACGACCCTGCTTTTTGTCGGATATTTTCAGAATTCTCACTTTGATACATTATTGTTCTAAAGCTGAACCATTTACGTTCCAAAGATGCAGCTTCGACCTTTCTGTGACTTATTTCAGTACAAAACAATACCCCTGCTGCTTATCTGTATGTGGTATTTCTAATCTTATATACTAGTATACGATATATGAAGATTAGAATGCCCAATGTGTCGGTGGCTACGATTCTCCCAAAAAACGGCGAACGCCAAAAAATATAGAATTGTCGGAGAATTTATAACGAAACAAATAATACTCTGTGCTGATAATACGAGAAGGCGTCTATTTTAAACGCCATTTATAAAAGGCGTGCCTTCTTTTCACTTAATTCATTTATATAGGAAATTTATTTTATGGTTTATCATATTATTTTCTTTTATTACTGTTACCTGCCTTGTCTCAAAAATAATAACATTATTTTCTAACTTACTGTAAGTTTTGTTATACCGAAAAATAACAAATTATTGTATGGTTTATGTTTTGAATTACATATATATGGGACACTAAATTCTTTTAAGTGCTTAGGGCCTCTATGGGTCTTAATCAGGTCCGCGTAATGGGTATGGTACTGACTCGCTAACCAGGAGGATTATGCTTCGACCCCGGTGTTAACCACGAAAATTCATCAGGATGTTTCTGTCTGGCCTTCCCTTGCCAGTGGTGCAGGACGGTTTGTCTGACACGGAACATCGTCTGGTTGTTGTTATTGAACTTAACACCGATGTCCCGTGTATACACGGTTGGCGTCCGCGTAAAATAACCCTTAGCAGTTGAAATTAGATGCAAAATTCCCACATAGGCCGGATGGAGATAATAATAGAACTTAAAGCGGAAATTGCAAATTTTCAAGTTATATTTTTAAAATGTATTAAAATAAAGCCTTAAAATAGATTGTATCCATAAACAGTCCTACCTTGTTAAAGAATAATCCTATTAATCCTATAATTCGCTATTGCCAGCTGAGAAATTGGCAAAAATATCATTTTTAACTTCAAATTTCAACGTTGGAAAATGGCTGCCCCATGTTGTCAATAGCAAAACAGGGGAGGTAATTGTGTTGTTATTTCCTGTGTCATAGATTCTTAAGGGTGGGAAATAATGCCCATGATAGTATAATAGTGATTTGATAACCTATTGAGCAAAAGACATAGAAATAATTATGTTTTGACTTTCTTAGAAAATTTGAAATTCTCGCTTTAATGTAACTTCCTGTAAGGTTTCGAACATGTAGTTGTAGACAGCCACTTTAAGAAGCAAATAATAGAAACACATCCGCGTGTATCAACTGGAATCAGTGAAACAATAGTTTTATACCTAGGGTGTTACTACATTCTTGTCAATAAACTTGCCAACAGATAAGAAAATAAACACTACACTTAAATTTAATACCTATCCCACCTAGATAAATTGGAAATCTACTCAACAAATTTTCGAGCAATGCACATGTAATGTTATTGTTGGGTCCTTTTTATATCTTTTCGAGCAATGAACATTTGTACACGTAGTATATTTATTTGGATTGTTTTTCAACGTTTCGGCAATGTACACGATAGAATGATGGGACGGTTTAGATCTTTTGGAACAATGTATACATGGTATGTAATTGTTGACTAGTTTGGGTGGTGTTATTTTTTTAGTTTTAAATGCATCGTATACTTTGTTATTAGACCGGGAGCCCAGGGGGTCAACCTAGCTGAAAAGTGTACCAATTTTCTCCTATATGGTATCAATGTATGTATATCTGGTATCATCAGAATGTAAGTCTGCCGGGTTTCTGGTGGTGGGTGTGGTATTCCACATATTATAGGAGAAAATTTGTACACTTTTCAGCTAGGTTAACCCCCTGGGCTCCTGCTCTATATCTGTACATTCATCAAGTACACGGTGGGTGGATGGCCGAATGGTTATCATAAGGTTTGCCATTTCAACTGGCATGGTTTCGATTCCCCGGTTGTACGTGACAAGGAGTATAGGCTCGGCTGTCCAATTTCGTTGGTTTTCTCCGGGTCCTCCGGTTTCCTCCCAGTGCTGAAGACCCCTGCGCGCAAGCGAATTATTGACCTAGTTTGTGTCGATGGATGTTAAACCCATCCCTCTCTCTTTCTCTCTCTCTCTCCTCTGCCTCTCTCTCTTTCTCTTACATTCTCCCTCCCCCCCTCTCTCTCCCTCTCCCTCTCCCTCTCTCTCTAAATACTTAAACATGCATTATTCAAGAGCTAAATCTGCCTATTGTAGGTCTTTCTTTAGCCATTAAATGATATATAAATTATTAAATAGACGCATTAATTAACTTGTCCAAACCATAATCAACTCTTGATGCCATCGTTAGCCTGCGATATTTGGTGGATTTGAACACATTTTGTGATGGATAATTTAATGTAAAAATGGATAATCGAGACTTTGTTCATTACCTTACCAACGTTAGTAATGATGATCAGGGTGAAGCAATTTGACTGCAATATTTTCAGCATATTCTGTTTTCAATATCTACTTTTTAACTATTTTTTTAACCATTATAGCGATAAATGTCTGCTCTTTATCTAATCTTACCCAATGCCCCTTTAAGTGATATTAACCTCCAACAAAAAAGTCTAGTAACATGGGTGTCGTCATTGACATCCCCGGCTTGTACACGTGGGTTTTCAATGGATCCTCCCATGTGTGCAAGCGAATTAGGTATAAATAAAGGTATTAGGTTAAGGGAAAGATCAACTTGGGGAACTGAAGACAGAAACAATTCTGAAGAAATTTTTTCGGCAGTACATAACTTCCTCGACATCTCCCAAAGATTTTGAAAATTCGGTATGTAAATTTATGAAATATAAACATTCTGATTGTGGTTTGTACATATCGTGTATATAGTGTATATAGCCATCTTATATTTTAATCGTTTACTTTACTTTACTTTACTTTACTTTACTTTTCATGATATATTTATGTTTGTACTTTTATGGAGAGGGGGGTATATAGGCTTTTGCCTGTTCTCCAATCCAGTTTCTGTGAATAAATATTGTTTAGAAAAAAAAAAAACCAAAGTTAATAGAACGGACTTGGACTAACGGTGTCCTATATTGATTTACCTCATGTTACTCCTCCTCATGACATAACCCCGGACTTGAGCTCCAATTCTCTTACACATGATAACCCAGGCATTAAAGCGGTCAAGCTTTTCAACAACTTGGTTTTTTTTCAATTCACCATTTTCTGTGAGAATAATACGTGTAGACAGTTCTAAATGAGAATTGCATACAACCGGGTTAGGCGAAATAATTGACATGCTTTTTGAATGACTTGTTTTACACTAAACTGACATTGCGTACACTCATTATCCGCGTATATAAATTGTGTGCACGTGTTGATGCAAGATTAGGCATTGTTGATCGTAGATAACGTATTGTTTATTAGCTGAGCTATTCTATTGTGTATCTTCACTTAGTGCCGCATACTTGACTACAAGTGTACATCTATTTGTGGGAACCACGATGGCCAAGTGTGTGTGCGCTGAATCATTAAATCATTAAGTCTTGGGTTTGATCTCGGTTCTAAGACATATTTGGGTGCACGTAAAAGAACCCGTTACAGTCGGAATTCGAAATAAGAGAAGATCATTTTACCTCATTTCACATCTATTTGTAAATTTTGTTAAATTAAACGATAATATAGTTGAACACTTTGTTCATAATATATCAAGCAATATGAATACGATAGGGTCAATGAGACCGCCTGGCTGCAGTCCAACATATAGAGACAATAAAATAGCAGACTGTAATTTACTACAATTGTACATGTACTTGGATTAAAGACATTTATGTGAATGTTTGAAAAATATGAGATATTGTTGACGATGTAGTCGCACAACTCGCTAATAATCTACCACACATAATGAATACGATAGGTCAAATGAGACCACCCTGTTGATGCCCAACATAGAAAAACAACTAATAGAGGAAAAATCGGGACAATACAAATGATTTGAACCGAACGTACCCCAAAAAAAATACTGGAAAATCATAGAGGGGAACAAAAATCCGTCCAAGTAATAAAGTTGTCAACACATACACAATTCATATTTCGCTAAACGTTACACATGGAAATTTGTAATTCATTTAACAGTCTAATTTCTATTCAAGGTTGATGAATATCCGTTTGATGTATCGATCAAAAAGTGCATTTATGTAAAGTTTATATTTCATAGTCGAAAATAGCAGTTATGCTTAGAATGGTATTTTAATATATTTGTATAAGGAAAAAATTGTTTGCTGAAAGCTAACCGAAATAACATTATTCAGATCGTATCTAGCGACCTAATTGCTTTGCCAATGCTTTGAGAATCGTGCGGTATTCATGTCGGACTCAAGCTGAGAAAATATTTGATTTGATGATATAATAATAGTGCTATCTCAACAATGCACACGGAGTAAACGTGTTTCTTTTATGAGAAATTGGATGTTATTCATGTGTTGCCATTGGGGCGATTCTTTAAATTAGTTTATCATCAGCATGTCTTTAACACTCAAAACTATTTCAAATTTGATGTCGAGTATATGTTCAACTAATTAATGAATATCTAAATTCTAATCATCAAGTTGTCCATTTCCGAAACAAAATTTGAAAATCATCCATGGCTAATGTTTACGAGGCTAATCATTAAAGTGCGGATTTTAAGCTCGGTGTGGGAACAAAAATCGAAGGTCGCCCACGTTAGTATCCATAGACGAGTATACACCTGGAAACCCCGGAGCTAATTCATTGATTTGTCCCCCAGATTCAAATAAGGCCTAATATTCAAAAATATGAGAAAGGAAGACTTGTAAATAAAGAAGGGTAGCTCGTACAACCAAGTTAGCAGCGATAATTTAATTTCACTTCGTGTTTGGATGCACCTCTCTCTCCCCCTCTCTCTCTCTCTCTCTCTCTCTCTCTGTACAACCATGTTAGCAGCGATAATTTAATTTCACTTTGTGTTTGGATGCACCTCTCTCTCTCTCTCTCTCTCTCTCTCTCTGGACGCCACTGTAGCAAAATACATATAACCAAATATTATAATTCTTAAAATGAACTACAGTACGTGTTGCCATTGGGCTAAATCTTTTTCGGTTATGATATTCGATACAAAAACCCGATTGCCTGGGAATATCGCTTTTGACACAAACATTTCTGTCTATGACATTAAAACATAAATCATGTAAATTTTCACGATCGCAAGTGCTTACAGTGACAGAAAAGGGAACATGGTTCACATGTAAAAGAATCGCTTTATGCATTCTTGGAATATTTTCGATTTTTTATGCAGCCTATACCATGTTAAACAGATTTTGAATTGTTTTGGGTTTTTTTTTAAAAAAAAAAATATGTAAATGGATCACATTCCACCGCCAACTACCAGACATATAACCAATGGTCTCTTTAAAAAATGAATTGAAATGAAATAGTGGCTCAGTGAGTAGGACGTTGGCTCGCTAACCTGAAGGTACGGTGTTCGATCCTTGCGTTGGCCGAGAAAGTTAATAATCAGGATATAATCCTTGTCAGTGATGTATGACGGAGGGTCTATCAAGGGAGAACGTTTAATTGTTTCGATGGGGCGAAAAACTGAGCCCCCCCCCCCTGTACTCATCTCATAGCACACTGCATGGCATATGCCAGCCTTCTTTAGCCCAGTATGAGCAGAACAGTAGGACGTTAAACCCCATTTCTTTTCATTTCATTGAATCCTGTTACATTGAACCACGTCACACCCTGCTTCGACCACGAGCCCTGTCCCATCAAAGATGTGAAACAAAATATAAAAAATACAGAACACCTGATACCGCTTTCAAACTACCGTAGAAGTTCACTTGTGTAATGTTCTTGTTTGTTCCTTTGTTTCAACAGAAAGGACAAAAAACGTATGCCGCGGTAGCTCATTGAGTAAGACGCTGGCTTGTTAACCAGGAGTTCTCGGGTTCCCTTACGGTGTTAGCCGAGAAGGTTCTTCGAGATTTGTCAGATGGGTATAAACCGAGGTCTCGTGTACACATTGACGTGCACGTAAAAGACAATTTGACAATCAAAATAAAAGTAGACCTTAATGTCTCTGTCCGGGAAAAATGTCCGTCATAGCACACTGTATGGCCGGGCATGGCTCGTTTCATTAGGCAAGTCGCTGAAGTCTGACTCAAAAAGTAAGACCGTAAACCCCATTTCATTTCATTTATCCAACATGGTTATGTTTGCGTTCTTTTAATCATTTCATTTCTTTTTAGCAAAATTACAATGGTCATTTTAAAAAGATAAGTAGTGGACTACTCACCTTCACCTCTGACAAATATTATTTTTAAATTATAAAACAATACTATTATCACAAGAACTGGAAGTCGAGTCATCTTGTTATATCTTCAGTCACTTTCATCGTTGATAAACTTTGTAGTAGCGATAGCATCACACGTATATACCATTACACATTGTACATGTATATACAACATTAATCCACGACCATCCATTAGTAATCTGAATTCAATATTATCCTTAAGAAAATTGGTAGATATTTATCATTGATATTCTACTCCGATTATCTTTCTTTTTTTAAAATGAATTGACTCCGGATGTACTTAAAACTTCACTTACAGTTTTATAACGCCTTGCATATTCACTTATTTGTAATAATAAACGCCTTTCATCTCAATTTGCACCAGTGGTATTTTCATTTCATAACGTTGATGTGCTCTAGATAAAAATAAAGAAAAAAAATATAACTTTTTTTAAACTGTGGCCTTTAAGTTGTTAAGATTAACGCTGTTTAAGCGAGCCAAGAAACTAAGAATGAGATAAAGCCACGTGTGTGTTATGTATATATACACCGAAAAACCTGCTAGCTTCTATGTCTGGGAAGAGTTTCTTATCCTGGCTTGCGCATGTTACGAGAATAGCTCTTGCTGTACATGCAAGTAACCGCTAGATCCTAAGATAGATATCCAAAGTGATTTTTTACTCAAGTTCTAATCTTACTCAAATACAAACGATTTTTTTTTAAAAAAAATAGCATGAAATTGGGCTAGAGTTAATTAGTCAGGTTAGTGAATGACGTCATAACTTCACTGTGTCGTGATAAATTTTTGATTTGTTTTTATTGGAAGTACACGGGATACGATTTTATTGTATACGATTACTAAATAATTCTGGCCGACATTTCAACTAGGTGTCTCTAGTCTTAATACGGGGGTGGGGTGGGGTGCGGGGGGTCACGGTGGCTAAGTAGTTAAGACGTTGGCTTGTATTCCATATAATGTCCCGAGTAATTGCATTCCATGAGTAGTTGTATTCCATAGATCAGTGCCATTTGTTATCGCAGTCTATAGAATAGTGTCCTGAGTAACTGTTTTCTATAGAATGGTTGATAACAATTACCACTAGATAAAGAAAAAACCGACTGGATTTCCCCAGCACTTGATCTGTGCGCAAAACTTCATACCGTATTGCTGGTGGTGGAGGTAAAGCGTGTGCCGTGGTTGGAGTGGGGTGACTAAGAATGTGTCCAAAGGTACCCTGCCCCCCTCTCCCCAGGTAAGTCCGGGGTACGAGTGTTACCTGAATATCATTTTGTAAATTGAGACGATAAAATAGGACTCGAAAAGGGTTTCCAGTTTTGAGCGAGACTTGCATGTATGATGCAATATCTATGGTTCGCTTTAAGGCGATATTGTGGAATTCTTTAATGATGGGGGGGGGGGATGGCCGAATGGTTAGCACGTGCGTGCTGTATCACAGGGCCTGTCATTGAGTCAAATGGCGTGGTTTCGAATCCCCGGTTGTACGTGACAAGGAGTAGGGTCGCCTGTCCAGCCTCGTGGGGTTTCTCCGGGTCCTCCGGTTTCCTCCCACTGCTAAAGACTAAATATTGAAATAAAATTAAACCATGTGTTAGTCCCGAAATGACCTAGTTTGTGTCGATTGGACGTTAAACCCCATCTCTCTCTCTCTCTCTCTCTCTCTCTCTCTCTCTCTCTCTCTCTCTATCTCTATCTCTCTCTTAATGATGAATTAAAACTTTAATCACTTAATATAATTTAATTATCGCTTAGTTGGGTTACTGTGTTTACAGTGTAAACGGGTCGTGCTGACATTGGATGTACTTTACTATTTTCAGACAGTTACATAAGTAGTTTGCTGTGCTATATACTGCACAATACTCAGAAAACAATCATCCTACCCTGTCTCCCAGTCAAGTATGAAAATAATATCTGGATAATCGAGGTTATATTTACGTTCGTCATGACATCATCTCCATTAACAAGACACTTTGTCGACTGGCATATCTACAAATTGCTCTTTGGGAAATGAGCTTCGAAAACAATGAAAAGCATCGAATTATCATTGGAGATACCATTTTATCTTTTTTGGACACTGACAGCGTCAAATTCCGTCTCCATGGTAAATTGCAATGTTCAACAGATCGGTAATATCTGACTATATCTGTTAATTACAGGACATAGCAAGAAAACTAATTTTTTGACAGTGCAACCATGGTTTTAAAATGTATTAACCACACTGGTTTCAGAATGTATATATACCTTCCATTTAATTATTTCGCCTGGTAGCCAGATCTTGAAAGTCAGATTGCCTCTGAATAACGTGTTGTTGATATCCGTAAATGACATTTAGAAGTAGAGGTATACATTTCATTATAACTTTATCAGTCGAGTGGCCGGTCATTAACGTCGACCTCCACTGTAATCCATTCGAGTACCGAATTAACGTTTTCTTCCACAGGAATTCAGTCGAGTACGGAATCAACGCCTTCTTCCACTGTAATTCAGTCCAGTACCGTTTTAGCGTCTTCTTCCACTGTAATTCAGTCCAGTACCGTCTTCTTCCACTGTAATACAGTTTTAACGTCTACTACCACTGTAATACAGTCGAGTACCGAATTTACGTCTTCTTCCACAGTAATTCAGCCGAGTACCGAATTAACTTCTACTTCCTTAGTAATACAGTCGAGTACCGAATTAACGTCTTCTTCATAACGTCTGGTACATATGGTAGTGTTCGGTTGCTCAAATAGCTACAAAACTTTTGCAGTGCTGTTGTTTTCAACTAAATCCCTTTTAAACAAAATGTTAAATTCCTCCAGCAATGTAACTAGCGTTATCCGTATATTGATCAGATTAGTTGATAACACTCCCGGTGTTTTTAGTTAGTATTTTTATATTTAAACTATGTGTATGTGTACTTTTATTGCTAACCTCATCAGCTCAACAGAGCAGTTATAGTTTTAACTCTAAAAGAAAATATCCAGCGCAAATAACATCTTGACCAGTTTCTAGAAACGGAAGAAATTGGGTGGTCGATATGACTAACGCATGCGCTTTAGAGCATACGGATAAGGTCCGCCTTTGGTGTCAATCTCAGGCTTGTATGTGACAAGCTTTAAGGTCGCCTCCCTAACCCCGAAGGTTTTCTTCCGATTCGTTGGTTTCATTCCACTGGCATTAAAAGGGTCCCTATGTGCAAGTGAATTATTAGAAATACAAATATACTATGTCCCGAGGTAACTTATTGTGTGGTGTTGAATGAACGTTAAATCTCTGTGGTTAATAAGCAGATAATGCTCCTCACCATTGCTTCATAACATGCAGTCAATTAGGTACTACAGTCTACAGTATACAAATACAGAACAGACCGTCAAGTCAAATTGAATAAAGATGGTAGCTATAGTAGACTGCATGATAACATATGACTTTATTTAAATAGATAATTATTAAAAAAAACATCCATTGTACTGCTAATGGTGAAACATTATCTAGGCGTACAAATGTTAACACAAATTTTAACAATAAAAATGTCACTTTCTCATCCAGTTGATTTTTGTTGCACTTTAAAAGTTATTTTTGTCAGCATTGTAATGTTATGTTAGGCTGTTATATCGGAATGTTGATATCTTTGATTGTGTTAAATTTTAGAAGGTAGATAAGATAGGAAGGCGATCTACAAACCGGGATTTCAGATTTAGATGTTTAACTCGTTCTTATTCATCTTTTAAATGTGTAGACTAATAAACCTCATACCGAATAATTATATAGAATAATAACCTCATAACGAATAAGTATTTAGAATAATAAACCTCACACCGAATAATTATATAGAATAATAACCTCATAACGAATAAGTATTTAGAATAATAAACCTCACACCGAATAATTATATAGAATAATAACCTCATAACGAATAAGTATTTAGAATAATAAACCTCACACCGAATAATTATATAGAATAATAAACCTCATACAATATAATTATATAGAAAAATAAACCTCACATATTTATATAGAATAATAAACCTCATAACTAATAATTATATAAACTAATCAGCTCAAGCCGAATAATTATATAGAATAATAAACCTCACACCGAATAACTATATATAATAATAAACCCCATACCGAATAATTATATAGAATAATAAACCTCATACAGAATAATTATATAGAATAATAAACCTAATAACAATTAATTATATAGAATAATAAACCTCATACTGAATAATTATATAGAATAATAAACCTCATAACAATTAATTATATAGAATAATAACCTCATAACGAATAATAATCTAGAATAATAAACCTCATAACAATTAATTATATAGAATAATAAACCTCATAACAATTAATTATATAGAATAATAAACCTCACACCGAATAACTATATAGACTAATAAACCCCATACGGAATAATTATATAGAATAATAAACCTCATACCGAATAGAATAATAAACTCCATAACGAATAATTATATAGAATAATAAACCTCACACCGAATAACTATATAGAATAATAAACCTCATACAGAATAATTATATAGAATAATAACATCATACTGAATAATAATGCAGAAACCCCATACCGAATAATAATGCAGAAACCCCATCCCCGATAATTATGCAGAATATTAACCGCACACCGAATAATTAGAATAATAGTCTCATACCCCGTTAATATGGAGGATAATAACCTCGTGGACTAATTCTCCTCGAAGAAATATACATAAAAGTACAACAGTGACGTCAATGTCACGCCAACTAAATATAATATGTTTGTTCCTCATAAAAGTCAGAAACGGCAATTTTTAGTAACTCCCGATTCAGGCTTAGATTGGAAGCGAAAATTATGGCATTACCAGAACGCTCGGTGCTAAATCTGTCAATTCACCTGTTATCACACGCTGCTTTGCCTTATCTCGGCCTTTATCGATATTTAGCCGGCTGTTAGTCTTCATAGATAAAATAGGGTGTGGCTGACAACACGCCTAATTAGAAAAAATAAGAAAACCAGAAAACTAATGATGTTGTCTTTGAATTAATGGATGCTGTCTTCTGCAACAGTTGTCTGATATAACATTTCCACACATAATCAACTACATCTTTGCTTCATTACGTTGTAAACGGCTTGTCTCTTACTAATTAACGATGTTCATTTTCAGAGAGCAGCCATTTGTAATTAAATTTGAGGTTTTCGGCGCACCTGGCGTTAAGTGGTGTCTTTTATTGATACGATTAAAGGGGCAATCTTTTAGGAGGGTGCAGT